ATCAACGGAAATCTGAAGATTAAAGGAGTCTCTACTTAACAGTTTAAACATTTCTTCCTATTTTATTGTTCTCAAACTTGGTTTTAACCGACACAAGAGCAAGCATAAGTGAGAGTATTCCGGATCCCACGTAAACCCTGGACACAGTTTACCAAGGCAGGAAAAGAAATGAACTGTTCATTGAGCTCGTAGTTTGGCGTCGCTCATGAAGCCAAGCCTAAACTTTTCATAAACGGTCTTCATATGTCACAAATTTAAAATTAAAGAGACCTCTCAACGCTGCCATGAATTTCGTGGCTTCTTTTTGGTTCCCCTCCAAGAATGGAGTCCTCAAACCACTAAGGTCTAGACGCCATTCAAAGACTAGAACTGAAATCAGGCATAATATGTAACGGAAATCAATTGGGAAGAATTTGGCTTACACCGATATTTCGAAGAAATTATTCTTCTACTGTGTCAGAGCAGGAATTCTGGGCAGTAATTTACTCTTTCTTCCCTTATTAAATCTCTTAAGTTCAGTCAGGTATTTTTGGCGCTTTTTGTTGCGTGTAAGTGATCAATGACTCTACTTTGGATGAGTAAAGGTCAAGAATATAATTGAAAGAAATTGGAAATTAAACGCTGAAATGTCATATGGCTGTTCTGTCACTTCAACAAAGAGTTTTATTGCACAGTCATTAACAATTAGAGCGCTGCAGCACGTCGATGTTATTTGCCGAAGTAGTAAACACAGTCGTAAAAGAAGAAAACTTCGGTGCTCTTTGATTTCGTGGAAAAGTTTGGAAAGTTTTGCCCGGCAAATACTTTGATTATTAACTCGAATTAACACGCAAAAAATAGTCACGATCGTATGATCGTGAGCTGTGACGTATTTTTTTGCGGATATGATTTAAACACTGGAATTGACATTGTGATAAAACATAATCCGAAGTTCAGATTAAGGAAAAATCTTCAGATTCCTAACTACAGAATTACGGACAAATGAACTTTTTATCAGGGATCGACACATTGCGCTTCTGGCTAAATTTGGTTTCAAGCCCAAGTTTTTGTGAAAGGTACGACTTGTCGTGGCTACCTGGAGTACGTCACCAGCATTTCGGATTTTATTTTTTTACAACTCTTTTCACGGTTGGCGTCTGTTAAATTCATGTTTTTCAAAATAATATGTAGTACTCTAAAGCAATTTGCACTATACCGTGCTATATTATAGTACAGTTTGCCCAGGCTCACTGTTTCTGTCACGTACGGGTTTCATAACATGAGTAAATATAGAGGACATATGGGGCGAAGTTTACGTCTGGAAATTTGCTAGAAAATGGAAATAAAAATCGATGAAACTTACCATGTGGCGAGTTCTTGTTGTCCTTAATATGCACACGAAGTTTCGAGAAAAATAGTCTGCGTCATCTTTCCTACATAGTATACGTTATATACTTCTTTTCACACCGCGCGAAAAAAGCATGAGATCTACTTCTCTTGATAGTCCGTGCTAAAATCAAACTACTGGATTGATTTTGAACACTTGGCTCGTGGTTTATGCAGCACAAAGAATATTTTACATATTTAAAAAGGAACATTCACAAAATGTATTAAACAAATTTAACGCGTAAACTTAAAGTAAACTCCGCTTTGCTAAATATTCCGCCAAAATTAATCACTAACAGGTCTAAGCCAATTATGAAAATGTAAATGAGTTCAGTGTTATCGCGCAAACACGAATTTATGTTCGTTAATCACGGCAAAACGCAGCTTCGACTTCCACGTTTATCAGTGTTTTTTTTTTTATCACCCACTTCAATTAAAGTGACGATAAGGGATCAAAACATTTGACGCATAGTTTGAAGAAATCAATATTTACACACAGATTTCATCATTTAGTTTAGAATTAGAACTTCGTGACACACAGGAAGACTGGTGTCACTTTCATGCAATAAAGACATGTCCACATGCATGATAAATCCTTTATGGCGGAAGACATAGGCTTATAACAAAAGCCTATAGTTAGAGAGTTAAAACTTGAGTGAAACGTTAGCATTTCAGGTTTGATTCCTTGAAGAAAGTATTTTAATACATATTAAAATATACTGCTCCAACTTTTTGAACTTTATCTTGATCCATTGGCAATGATTTGAGGCCATGTTAAATTTGCCCAGAATTGCATTACACTTCAAATTTTTTTTCTCTTAAAATTGTCTTTTTATGCTGGGCCTCTTTTAGCTTTCAGTCTGGGGCCTTGGTTTCTTAGTGGGTGCTCTGATTGAATCAGAAAATACCTAAAAAGTTGAAGTTAGTAATGAATTTGAAGTAGGAAAATGATTTCTAAAGGTTATTCCAATATTCTTATTCCGGAAAGCTGTGAAACGCACGCGCCTTTTCCATTGATGTTTTCAATCAGCCTTAAAGCATCTACGTGCAGTCAGTGGGAATTGAGTTCTCCGCTTTTCCTGTAGAAAAAAAAAAATGAAATATTTTCAGTAAATTGAATATCATCCATACCTGAAAGTACTTAATTTGAAGCCGAGGTACTTTCAGAGAGTCCTTGATACTAGATATAGTTTAGCTGTATACGTGGTTTAGCTTTTGTTTTGATAAATGCTCCCTTAAAATATTTAACGTAAGTAGATGTAAGTGTGATTAAATTAAGTGACAAGTAAAATTACGGAATAATTTGACTTGTGTTTTGCCAAAATTTTAATACTTTTTCTTGCCTTGTCGTAGACCTGCGTAGCTTGCGGGCTCGTTATGCCCGAGTTGGGGGGGGGGGGGGGGGTGGTTACTTCCTTTGCGACGGCGCCACAAAGAGAAGCGAGCGGCGAAGCCTTGAATAACTTGCTCCAAACTTGTTTCCAATCTTCTCGCAACTTGCCGCCAAGAAACTAGAACATGCATTACTCGCCCGCTAATCCCGCCAGCTGCCCAGGCTACAGTCTTAGGTTATTGACTTGTTTATTGAATCGAAAAATCATAGAATCCTTTTTGCTGTTAATAATCGCGCTCTATTGCGAGTTTAGTTTTAATGCAGTGTCTTTTAGTTCCCTTTCTTCTTCTTTCGTAATATCTTTAAACCGTGACTTTGAAGCCATTTAGGGTCTGAGATCTGGCGCTAGAAGATTTTTAATTTGAAATGTAAAGAAATATAACGTTCACTCGAAGTAACGCTGAAAATTCGCGCCAAAATTTAAAGAGAAAGACAATATCGGTCACTTTTTCCCACTGACTAAGCTTAAAAGTTCACATGAAGTAATTTCCAGTGCCTCATGTTGTGCCTGCACCAGATTTCTATTCTTTCTATTCTGGGAGAAATATATTAAACGAACAATTTCGCAAAAAAAGCACTTAATTTGAGTGTCAATGTATTTAGCACGAAAGTACTAATTGGGGACACTATTTTTAACGTCTCCTAGTGGAGAGGGCACCACCATTTTACGTGGTCATCCGAGCCATGCGAAGGTCTAGCCGTTTGCAGGGCAAAGGCAGTACCTTCGTTTCTCAGTTACTTTAAGACCCTGAGTATTGGTCCAGCCCCGGGAATCGAACCCGCGATCTCCCGCTCGGCAGTCAAGCGCTCTACCGACTGAGCTATATAGCAACTACAACAAGCCAGAACTTACTACGGAGTTCTTCAATGTTCTAAATTCAATAGATTCTAGTGACGACTCTGAGCTTGTTAGGTCTTTATCGTCAGTATAAGCCGCATGCGTATTAAAGCCTGATGCGGCCTTGTCATCGAACATTTCCCCGCTTTCTTCGTCTTTCGTGCTCCCCGCATCCTTCTTCTCGCCTGTTGGTTAATATACAACAGTTCGGTAAGTCTATAGTTTAGGCACTATAGTAAACAGCAATATGTGCGTCTTATCCATCATAATTAGACTTTGATAGATTGAGCTCGAAAAATTGTGGCATTATATGCTGCTAGCAGTGCTCGTATATTCCTAAAATCATGCCATGTTTTTGTAAATTATGCCCATTTTAGCAAAATACGCAAGATTTATACTTTTACCTTTTACTTCAAATTTGGTAAAAAATACCTCAATACCTCAATGCAGCAAACAAGTAAATGGCAAAAACATTTAACCTATCTATATGTAGGAACCTTAAGAGTGCATTATTATATTTATTCTCTGAAAACTATAAAAATTTAAACAAAAAACAGCACACGGACGCCATCTTGGATAACCGAGCTACAATGTAGCTTGTCAGTTAGGCGCATGCGTTGTGTCCTCTCGAAAGTCACTCCTAAGCTGCTTGCTTTTGGACCCAGGTCCCATGAATGCGACGATAAGCAGACAAAAAATTGATTTTGTTACTTAAATTTGCCCAAACTCCTTATCTCGGGTCAAAAAATTGGTTGCATAATCAATAAATTTTGTGCTGCAAAACTAGCCAAAAGTGCAAATTATGCCCGCAGTACAGAGCTTTATTCGGAGAATACATGAAAATTATGCTGGTAACGATTATGTCGAAGATTATGCTAGCTCAATTTATCGAAGCCTGATCATTACACAGATACGTTTTTCTTGAGCCCTGAAACAGTAATGTGTTTTAACTCAGTTCCGTGACTGAGTATATTGAATGTTGAACGAGTGACACTGGTTTCGCCTGTTTTAGATATTAAATTTGGTACTTCTCCTTTTTCTTAAAGATCGAATATGAATTTGTTCGTAAGGTTTTCGGTTAGGTCAACTTTTAGCGTCGATTTTCCCCCTGATCTTCATTCCAGCAAAATATTCCAACTGTCCTTACTTAGATTGTGTTATCGTATATCATCAATGCATAGAGAATCAATGGCCGCTATTAGAAATTACAACCTCCACTTCCACTTTTAATTATATCTATCTGGTTTGATAATCAAAAAGGCGTTCACTTGCAAAACTACGGTAATTTCAGTTGACGCCGGGTGACAGAGTTAACATTCAGGCAAACTCACCTAAATTTTAATTTATCCCTTATTTCATGTCGTGTTTTGTCTACCTCGTACCTTGATTTTCCTCCACAATTTTCCTGTCTTCCTTTCGTATTAACAAGGCGCGTTCTGTTCGTAGTTTCTCGGGGGTTACCTGCGCTGATGTGAGGGATGTCTCGTTGTGAGTGCTGTTCATCACTGGTGAAGGTTGAGGCGAGGGGGAAATTTCCGATTTAAAGAGTTGAAGGGTAAAAAGCCTGAGACCAGTTGCGCTACTGACTCGACTGCTGGTGCCTATGAAATATCACAGCCAGGAATGATGTGAGTGAATAAGTGTACTGCATGTAATGATGATGTTTAAACATGACTAGACTGTGAGCCATTCTGAGCCACTGAAAACTGTTTTTTTCTTAATGATGAATAGGTTAGCTACATAGACAAGAGACTGACAAGGGCTATGCAACTTAACCCTGCCTAAAAAGTCTTCCTGATTTACAAGTAATCAAGTTTTGCTTGCAGTGATCATGACAAAAGAAACCGCCCCTAGAAGGGACCATGTTTCAGTACGACAAGGCTCAGAAGGCAAAATCTCGGCAGGCCGCAAAATAACTGTTACCATATGTAGAGTCCGCCGTAGTACTGAGTTTCCTCTTCGTAGGAGCCGTCATAGCTTCTGTTACGAACCATGCTCGCTTCCTTTTACGCTCAGATATAGCATCTCTAATCTAAATCCAAATTAAGACAATTAAGGGAATTCACAGGATAGAAAAGACAGTGCGCTTCGCGTATATTCTACACGTAGGTTATTTTCAAAACACACAGCCCTCTTTTCGCTTCTCTTACTCGCGGCCTCCGAATAATAGCTCCTTTTCGCTCAAATTAGTCACTGTGCATGTAACCGCGATCAATAACGATTGCCTTACAACGAAGCCGATCATAGATTACTAAAAATGTTCTATAAAACAAATATGATGCCACGACAGGTTCGAAATTTTAGAAAGGACAAAAAATATTATATTAAACACTAAATGGAGTGTTTCATCCTAGCTTTATCCAAACACCAAGAAAAACGAATTGAAAGGACGAAGCACATCCGGGTTTTATAAACCAATCTCGAGATACCTGAATATCAGGTGAAGCTACCTTTTTCTATTAGAGATACTTGTTTTTTTTTCTATGATTTATTTGAGAGTTTTCGCGTAAGTCTTGACGAGAACAACTGAGAACATGACAAGTACCTGCTTGTTTAAGATGCAATGGAAAACAAATATAAAAAGTCCTTGCAATGAGTTAAAGACCGTAAATAAGTAATTGAAGATGATTTTGTCTGACGACATTGTCAAAACACCAAATGACCAGGAAATTCCCAGGAGAGGTAAAAGTACAAAAGATGCTTTGAGCCCGCGCTGAAATCTTCTTGCCAGGGGTTCGTTTCTCAGTCGATGGGTTGATAGCATACTGTGGATAACTAGTGCAAAGACCACCATGTTTCCCTAGAATAAGACAAATTATTAGTAGATTGCTACTGCCAACAAAAAATACTGCCTTAAGGACAAGGTCGGAAATGAAAGTGCATGATTTCTTTAGACAGGAATAGAAACATGACATTACTTTTTCTCGCCACTGTTCTGTTAAGCGTTCTTTTGCAATAGCTTCCTGTCAAACTCTGCCATTTGAGGTTAGGCAGAATAACTCCACATATATGGCCAGGCCGCTAAGCGTGGTACACTATGGCTCTGAGTTTATTTGAGAAGTTTTGTAGGAGATTTTTGTTACAACTAGCCTTTATTTGTGGTTGAAAAAAATGACCTTTCCAGACTTGACCTCGCACTCGTTCGACTTTAGTTCTTTGATTATTTTCGTGTTACTTGTGGGAACAGTCGAAATAAAGCTTTTCAACATTCAGCTGTTTATAGAGAATTTCTGGAGGAATATTAGAACATCCTTGTTCCGTATCCTATAGCCATTAGTCAAAAATTCTTAAAATTGTTTTAACTTACGCTGACAATGAGAAGTGCCGGCGCCACAAATGCCCAAAGCACGTGATTGTGTGGACTCAGCCAGCACGTCTTCATATCAGCGTACCCTCGACCTTGTGTAGCTGCCAAGGAAGCTGACACGACTAGAGCTGGAAAACCTGGAAAAATGATTAACAATAGACTTGGAAACTGAGGACAGGTTTTGATGTTTCTTCAAACTTTTTAATCACAAGTATAAGCTAAGTGAATCATATTTTTCGTTTTGCTTTTTAGCGCATAGAACGGTTTTAATATTATTGAACAATTCATTTTGAGTTTAAGACTATTTGAAATAAAAATAATGATTAAAAAAAAGTTTTCTGTACTGAAACATTAAATAAACAATAAAGCTTACCCCAGCCCAGACTGTAGAAAAATTTGATGTTTATAAAGTATGTGACTCCAATAACTTTGACAAGGGAGAAATACAGCTGTATGCCCTCAGATAACATCCAACAGAAAATGGACAGAGTAAAGAAGTGAAGGAATACTGCTAGCACCGTACAACTGGTCTGTAAGAAAAAATTCAGTAGTTTGAGCGTTAAAGCAAACCGGATTCTTAGTCCTTTAGAGTGAAAAAACAAACAAACAAACAAACAAGCAAACTAAAAAATCTGGCTTATTTTGCTTACTGTGTGAAAAAAATCTGTTAGGTTACTGGCCTGTGTAACAGTACAGACTATATGTACAACGTACAAGCGTTATCTTAAACTTTGTGGCAAATGTTTCTAAAGAGAAGGGTAGAGACGGAACTGAGCATAAACTTACGAGTACGCGAAGGAAGAGGGACACCAGTCGTTCAGCCCAGTCGTTCAGCCTTCCTCGTGTACCCTTAGCATTCGCACCTTCCTGATTTTCCCTTCCCCGTCTGCGCTGGCCAGAGGGTCCCCAATAAGTTTTTCTGGTTGCCTTTTGAAGGCCGATATTCGGAATTGAAAGTGTACATGGGATGTGGAATCCCGAAAGTAACCATTGGAATTCTCGCGGGATTGAAGAACCCTATCGGAGACCCTCAGCCTAGGCTTTCAAGAGTTTGGTAAAAGTCCTGCCAGGAATGATCCCGGCTTTTAGTCTAAAAGCAATTTTATTTCCAACCTTTTCAAAAGACAAGGCAATGCCAATTAGTGATTACTAGCTTTGCAAAACCAACCTGGTTTTCTATATCGGCAGTCTCCTTGGTAATGATAAGCACGTCTGTTACCGCTATGGCAACGCAGAGATTGACAAGAACAACGGTTCTTGGAGAGCGCAACTTCTTCCAGAAAAGGAACGTGACAAACAAGGTGACCACTATTCCTACCAAAGACAAAAAACAGCCAACTACAGAGATCCAGGAGAGAGCAGTTCGGTGGCTGGCATCTGTTATCTAGAATTGAATAGTAATTGCCAAAGATCAAAGAAGAAGGGAAAGTGATGAAAGGACAGAATAAGATGTTGATGTATGGATTACCGTTTGAACGCATATATCTGGCCTGAGTGGGGGTAACTTTAACTGAAGGTTAATTTAGGAAAGGAACATAAACACGTATACAGTTGACAAAATATCTCTGAGCCTTTTCTAAGACCAACGCTGTTATATGTTAATTAAGGATGACAGGCTATAAGCAGCCTTTAAGTCATAAAAAAACCATTTTGGGGTTAAAATTTTTAGCTCTGTGAGTTTGCACTAATCGGCCCTCTACGAACTGGGCAATGTACGGGGCAAAGAGTTCTCAAATTTATTGAGACTAAATGCTTTTGTTTACAATGACATCAGATTGGATGGTTTACTCGAATCCATTTCATTAGTTGCCGACTTGATTTCCCTGCAGTATCACCGAGACTAATTGACTTTCTTTTTTAGAAAGCTGCGGTATTCTGACTAGCTTTGGACTTACCTTGTTACCGCCGCTGTCCATCAGCAGTGCGAATAACGTCATGTGATTGCAGGCGCAAGTTGCAGTTGTTCTGCTTGTTTGCGAGGTCACCAATTCGCACCCACGTGACGACCAAACGTTCTTTTGTGCTCTTATGTTTGATTCGCTAATATTAATGAATACGCATATTTTCTCCCCTTCAGTATAAGTAACCTGGAAGAGAACAAAATTATCACGAATATCTATTAATTACAGTTTCTAATAATTTTTAAGCAGGCAGTTGCAATGGAAAATTCAAGGATGAGCTATGAAGGAACATTTTGAACTCTTCTTGGGCGAAACGCTAGTCCATTTTTGCCTTGGTATTCTAAACACTTTGTCTAGCTTATGTTTTGCACATTTTCCAAAAAGTGTATGCATGTATATCGAGCTCTAACCACCCTAAGCACGACTCTTTTTTATGCAATGTTTCATTGGGGATCACCAAATATATCTCAAATCAAAATTAACAGAAAATTGTGAACGCTTCAAAACATAGAAGGAACACAGAGACCAGATTCTCAAACTATATAGGCCAGCAAAGATAGAGTATTCTCAGTTTATCTGAACCTCACTACTATATCAAAAGCTTCATCATCTTTGACTTTTTCCTTTAGAAACAAAGTTAATATTCCAGTACCTTGCGTTTCTCTAGAACCAATTTAAATGGTGGTGCGATGACTTCAGGTGGGCGGGGCCTCATTGTGATTGACGCCACTCTTGAGTCAAATGACCAGTTAGAGTCATTAATCAAAGAAGTACCAGACGCAATGGTAATACATGTATCTGAGCTTTTCAGAACCTGATCCAGAGTATTAAAGTACACACCCACTACTGTGACCGAGTTATTTGTTTGGCTGAAGAGAGCCGGTGGAAGATCAATGGAACTTTGTCCATGGGTCATCTTCAGGCCTTTTGTAGACACCTACAGGATATAAACCAGTCATGAAAACAAGTACTAAACATAAGAACGAAATCATACGAGTAACCGATATGAGTTAAATCAAGGAAATAGTGCTGGCATAGATTATATTGACAAATATTGAAAGGAACGATATGTTACATGCTTTAAAAAACTCAGTGGTTGAACTAATACAATATCAAAACTTTATTTAAACGACGCTTGCTGAAACAGGAAATTCAAACTTGTCAGTGTTTCATGGTCTTTTTTATGAGGTTTTTAAATTGTGTTAGATCTACTGTCCCTTATCAACTCACAGAACTGTTTGCAGAAACCTTGACTGCCAACAAAGCAATGTTTTCAGCGTTGATGTGAATTTCTGTTATCTTGCTCGTAGAATGGTGTCCGTATTCATCAAGTGCTGATACCATCTGGTATGCTAAGTCACCTTCAACCTACGAAGTGATGAGAAAAAAGTAGAAACCACTACAGTTTGCTACTGAATTCATGTGGCCATGAAATTTTGCTACTGTGTTTTTCTAAACGTCCCCTTTAAAGACGATTATAACTGTGCCTTTTTCAAGTGTAGCCTTGAGTATGTGTAATGTGTTTTTTTTGTTGGTTTATTGGACATTGCCGAGAGCGCTTATGAAAATATAAAAGCGGGAAATTTATTGACATAAAAAGGGAAAACGTCTGAAATTTTAATGGTTACAATTTTAATGCGTGATATGATTGACATCTCACAACAAAAAGGCAATTAGCGACGATGATAGCTATTTGTTACGAGTTTTTGGATTATTTTTCCCAAGAACATCGCAAGTAGCTAAGAATAAGGGCGCTTCACTCCCTTAATTGTTCTCATAAAACATGAGTATAACTGCTTTTATACTTCGTTTCAAACAGTATATCAGTCTTGTTGTTAAAGGGGCTCTGTACTGTCATGGTTAGTTCTCTATTGTTTAGTCAAAGCTGAGTTGTACGTAAGTACTCTCACTCATCTTTTTTCATAACTGAAACTTTAAAAGAGAGATATAAGATAATTATATCAACGGGAAAACATGGTATGACTGGTTTTTGGTCACAGGGGTTTCATCTTACAAAAAAATCGTGTCATGGCTCCTAAAAGTCAGTGAAAACTGTGAATCGTGTTTACTTCGAGCGAATTTTTCCAAGCGGGTAAATTGGTGATTCTCAGCAGATTGCTAGAAGCCTTCACCAGGTTTTTTATATCTTTTTGATTGCTGAGGGGTTTGTTTTTGTTTACAGCGTTGTATTTTATCAGCCTCGTCAAAGCATCTACAGAAGTCTTCATATCTCTTTGGTACATCTGACTTGATTTATTTCCAACTTTAGGAACACTGTAGGTTGCCGTTATGTTTTCTAAGTCCTGGAGTATGGAACTCAACGTCGTGTTCACTGCGTATCCATCTGTAAATGCTACAACCTTTGTAGAAGACAAGGAAAAAAAATCGTAAGCAACGAGCATGATTACTCCCACGGATTGGCAAGTATGATTTCATTTTAAGTAATGATAATTACATGGATTCTTATGAGCATCTCGTTAGGGACTCCTCCCGCTATGAAATAAACTTATCCCTCTTGCTGACAATCTAGTCTGTCCACAGACGTTTTCTCTTTCCCACGATTTTTATGTCATAAGCGCACTCAACAATCTCTAAAAAGAAAACAATAAGAGGTCCATGTACGGGCTAGAAGGATCATGTTGGTATGAACGATTTAAAACTTTATTCATTCCCTATATCTCTAATACGGAAACCTCTGTATTGAAAATCCGTGGAGCTGTCTGTTTGGGATGTCAGGAAGCTTGACTATAAAGCTCAATTTATGAAACCTTGATGATAATAAAAGTAAGAGATGTTGAATACGAGTAGGGCCGACACCGTCACCTTTGAGAAAAGTTTTTACTGTAAAGCCCCAAGAATCTGCTGGAATACCTTACCAGCCCACCTCTGGAACACTGACTGTTCAGTAGCGCACTTTAAGGAAGATCTTTTTATTTACTACTTGTATCTCACTAAGTCTGTTTATGATGTCGATGACACTAGTCGGCTATTGAACAGCTTGCTCGATCGTATGTGTTGTTCATTTTTTATCGATGTCCTCCCCAATTCTGGTTTGCATTTCCGCTTCTTTTTGTTGTCGTTTCTAAAGTATTGTCATTCTTGTTAGTTGTATTATTAATTTTCTTTTCTTTTTTTTTCCGGACCTCATAGTGGAGCTTTCTCTATGAGTGATCCAGGACTTTTGGCGAAGTTTATAAATAAATAAATAAATAAATAAAATAGTTTACGTTTCTACTCACGTCGGCATATATTTTCCTGATTTCGAGGTTCATGCAATCTGAGAAGTCGACTTGGCCCCATTCGGCTTTTTTTGACTCGGTGATGACACAAGATCTTACCGCAAGACCTGTATTGGAAAAAAAAACAAGAAAACAAAGAACTTTAATTTTAGGAAAGATAACAAACTAAAGGAAGATTTTTGTTGCAAGTTGATCCTCTATAAGAATTACCTTTCAAAAGAATCTTAAGCTTTTCTTATAAAAATCTAGCATAGATAAAGTTAAGATAAATATAGATCAAGGCATCTCATTACATTAAAATTCAACAGTTTCTTGCATTGTACTGTTACCTTACCAGTAGCATTAGGACATCTTTGAAGGTCACTCATTCCAGGGGCCGTCATTGACCAAGTGATTCCAGAAAATGATATACTAGGACAAAATACTGCTCCTAGGGCAAGACAAAAAAAACAAACAAACAAATAATCAAAAACAACAACAAACGCAAAGACAAATACACAAAACATCAAACCACGAGAAACCATGGAAGGCATCTCTTATTTTACTTACTGATTCTATTTCGAAACTGAAAAAAAAAAATCCGATCGTATAAACTTCAACTCCAGTACAAATTTCGTTTTAATTAGTAATACCTTGTGCAGTTAACCAATCTCTGCTACACTTAATAAAACCGAGGCTCCGTATTCACTTGTCCATAGAAGAGAATACGCTAGTAAGCATCAAAGTCGAATTACGTTCATCTTTACAAAATATTAAGGTTAAAAATAGCAAGGTGTTTTGTGAGTTTGTAGTTAACGTTTCAGCAAAGTTGAAAAAGATCATCTGGCTTGTTTGGTTGCTCTTCGGGTGGTTGCCTTGAAAGTACCCTTTCATCTCCCCAATGAAAACCAGAAACATAATAAGAAAGCCCCTCCATCGCCTCTTGGCGTTAAATCGATGGATGGTGTGCCAAGTCAAATGAAACTTCATTATTTTGCAACATTCTCACATTCTCTCTGTTATTTGTCTTGTAATATTCTATAAACTGATGAAAGAAGGGAATTTCATGTATTGAATTTCTATTTTGGTCACTTTAATCCTGAAACTGCGAAACTTTCTTTTAATTTTACCTTTACGTAGTATAACAAGTTTTGCTGAAGGACTGGAACTAGTTCCATCTGAGTTTCTGACATCGCATCTGTAGTACAACACGTGACTCCGTTCATCCTCTGGCATGTTTCCTTGAACTGTAAGCGTTAGTGAATCATGGTTTCCGCTGATGAGTTTTTCTTGACTGTTTTTCTTCCTTTCGTACCAGAAGACCTTAAGACTTGAGATGTTACCACGTAACAAATAACAATCAAATGTGTAACTTTCTCCTAAGGAGAAAGCAGATGATAATTTATTCCTAAACTTTCAGCAATTCAGTGCAACTGTTACTTCCATTTACTGCGTGCAAACTATCAAGTTGCTAATCATCAACCTTCACGGCTTCCGTACCGTAAAAATTAATAAATCGGGCTTTAGTTATTTGGGTGAACAAAAAAGTTGCTGTTGACGCCTCCGATCTTGGATCTATCCAGATTTTAGTGTAGCTTTACGGATAGTCTTGTATCTATTTTTTTCTTTACATCTAATTCATCAAAAGGGTACTGGCTACCAACTTGTGGTCGTTTAAGCAACAAAAGAAATATCATCCTAGCTCTCTTGGTTTTAAAAAAGTGAATATTTGCTTTCTTCCGGCAACCACCCTTTTTGGCGGCTCCGTGACCATTGCATCAGACGATAAAAATGACATCTGCTTTGAGCCAAATAGGAGAAACTATTTTTAAAAGAATTCACAGAGCTATGTTGAAAGTACTTATGTTGCTATCTATTCTCTCTCTTTAACTTTGTCAACAACAAACAAATGTTATTTCTAGAATGTCTGAATCTGATTAGCCTGTAGTGCAGGCGTATTTTGGGTGGGCGAAACCTTGTTCGTGTTCGTAATATTGTTGTAGCCGCCATCTTTGATTTTATGACGGTGGAAGATTGGGGAGAGTACAAATAGTAACCCTTACGGTAGGTGCGAGGGCGAAAGAAGGAAAGGGGGAGGGGGAAGGGATAAAACGCCCCCTCCCCGCTCCCTTTGACTCGCCCCATCTCATCCTCTCCTCGGGAAGTTTCAACATGGCGCTTTCGCTAGCAAATTGGTCAAATTGCGCGCTCAAAGAAAACGCCTGCACTGCAGCCTAGAATCCGATTATTTCATCCACGTCGGTTGTCCTTGATACATTAACCTACCTTGAAACGATGTCCTTACAAGAGGTCTGATTCTTACTTCAGGTGGCTCAGAAACATTCACGAATACCGTTTCGTGTCGACTTGACTTAGATATACTGAAATAAAAGGAAAGGTATCATTTAAAAAAATTTTCCAAAGATATCGAGAATTATTAGCTTTTTATTCGTTATTCCGTAAAGGAAGGACAAGGTTGTTAAAGAAATCAGGGAAGTAGTAGTAGGAGCCCCATACCAGCAGCCCGGAGCTTGACACTGTTTTCAAACATCTAGGCACCTAAAAGTGATTCCCGGATGAAATGCTGGTCCATCATTGAAGAGGCTGTTTCAAGGCTGGCCAGTTCATTTTTTTCATAATTTTAAGTAGGCATCATTTCAAAGTGATAACTTATGGATGACAAAATCACAGCGTCGTGTTAAACAAATATGTCTCCCAATCATTATTTCACACGTTACAAACAACAAAAACGAACCGCCCATGCGCGCCAGGTAGCTTCAGTACTGTGTTATTCATACTTTGTTTTAACGTTCTGAGCGGTTATTTTTGTTTCACTCAGTTTGATGGCAGTTTTGGCCACAAAAAATACACCTGAACGTAGTGCCTATATAGGCTAGTGGAGAAGAGTTATAGTCTTGTCTAAAAAGACAGCCTAGTTGCACCGTTCGCACATCTGTATTAAACAACCAGAGTCAGTAAGTACAACAAATTATAATTGAAGCACCCAATTGAAGCATTTGATTCAATTGAAGCTGCCTTGATGTATAGGCAGGGTATAGGTGCAATTTCTCTAGCTTGGACAGATGATGTAATTTTTGTCGTGTGACCAACGTGTCCCGAAGTGCGCAACGTCCATGGTTAACACAAATGTACTGAGACAAAAGATAATGGATAGCGAGGTGCTATTTTTTATGTTTCGTTGGACATCTAAGAAAAATGTTGCTGGTTACCACACGAGTGACAGTGCGTCGTCCTCATCTCATTGTTTTCAGAATATGCTCACTTTACGAGTATTGATTGAAATTTCTTCGAAAGTTGCAAATGCGACATTTTGTATCACTTGCGCATTAACAAGCTTAAACCAAACAATGTTTAACAGTCCTACCGGTACAACGAAGCAACAAGTTCATGTTAATGCAAGAATGGTGATGATGATGATGATGATAATAATTATATGATACTGACGATGATACAAATTTATCTTCCAACCTGACATTGCAAGTGTAATTTCCAGAGTCTGCCTTTCCCATCATTCTTATTGTTAACACTGAGCATGTGCTGTTATGCTGTTCGATTTTCACCCAGTAGGAAGGCTTCAAGGTCACGTGGTTCCGTTTCCATGAAAATATCAAAGCAGAAGGTCCGATCGCCGAGCAATAGGCAGCCATCTTAGTACCAGCTTGTTCCGAAAAATGTGTTGTTATAGTAACATTGGCAAGGTCTATTGGACGACAAAATTCATTTGCATGAATTTAAGTTGATATGATTACTTCGAGACATATATAATTGTCCACTCAGTTCACCAAAATTTAAGTACCACCCTTCACAGGCAAACCCTCCACATTTCGTAGAAAATGACAAATATTATCTGATTAACTCGTGTGGCAACCCATGAAGCCCGTATTTGTTCTCCTTCTACATGCCACGTGTTATCTAAGGGTCTCGTAGCTAACAAAGCAGGCAGCGAGCGTTTTTGCGATAATGACATTAGTATTCACCGTATGGCGAGCGTAGAACAACAAACCCATTGTGGTCTTCAAAATTTTTGCCGACGATTTTCTATCCCAGGTGCATTCCTTGCTGGACGACTCCCGCTGTTAGCCTGGGCTTCGATTCACGAGAGTCTCACAATGCCAAAACGTTTTTAAAAAATGTAACTAACAATAAAAGTTTAGTTTAATTTTACCTGGTTCTTGGATTACTGTAAAGGTGTCAAGGTCTATGAGCAGAGATCGATTCTGCTTGTTGTTTCCAGTTATAAACGTTCGTAGTCTCACTTGAAGCTGTAAGTTTTTGAAGTAAGGAATTCTGAGCTGGAAGCGTGCAACAAGGTTTTGCGGTCTAAAAAGAGGCCTCACAGTCAGTTGTCGTCTTAAGAACAGTGCTAACAGTCAGCGTTAATTTCAGAGTTAATTTACAATTGATAATTAAAAAGGGAAAAAAAAAACAACAAACAAACTGATGGACGGTGTTATTAGGTAAAAGATATAATCATACGTATATATACTTATTCGACAACAATATCAAAAATTATCTTTTTAAAAATCAAAAATAAATCGATCAAAATAAAACTCATAGTCTGGTACATAATTCGCTTAAAACTTGATAGCGATTAACTGTTCCTCTCGTTGGTACTGAGAGAGTTCCAAATGTTTACTGAGAGAAAAAGAACGATCAATTTGACTTCTTAACAGCAGAATCTTTTCAATATCGTAGTACTATCTTTCCAACCAATGAAATTTGACATTTCTCTTTATGTTTCATTTCAGGTAAATTCAAGTCACATTTCAACGCAGATCTTCTGCTTTCGTCATTAATAAGAAAAAATATTGTAGTCCATAGCTCTTATACTTGGGAGTTCTCAGCTGTTAAAAGTTAATTTTACTAAATACTGATACTTTTTTCAATTAATGCTGAGAATTGTTCCAGTACTACTTATAATAAATATGATAACCATTGTAGAAAAAAGAGAAAACAAAAAACAAAAAACAATAAAAGAAGAGCCCAGTGTACTTGCCAGCTTATGTAACTCTTTATAACTCAATCAAGAAAGCAGGTGTTTTAACATTTAAATAATAAGTTAGTCCTTACCAGCAGCCACTACACATCGGGCAGAATGGCTGGACATTTACGACATTTACGCATAATAATGAGCTACCGTGGAGGGGCTATTCAAGCATGAACGTCGCACAGAAGCGCCACAATAAGAGAGAAAACGGGGAGGAATTTTTGCGAAGATCACTAACTAAAATCGTCATTTTAAATACTTATAGTCTACTTTTTAAAGATAAAACCAGCGGCTTTTTGTAGTTAAAGGGCTAATCTTCAACGGTACGTAAAAACCAGGAAAATTCAACGAGATCGGGGCTAGAACAACTTGTAGACTTTTTGCTTTCAAAATTATGTTTTTTCGGCATTTCTAGTATGGGTTAAGAGCGCATTCAGATTTCGTTTGGATTTTTTTTGTCCAAATAAGCGACAAACTATGTATAAAACAAGGGATTATCGAAGATGCACATCTCCCCTACACATTGACAGCTTTTCGCCTAAAACAGAGTGATCGGGATGATGTTATCACATTTCCCCTATCACTGCCCTGACAACTGAAAAGTAGCGTACACAGATCTGCTGTCTGTATATATATGAATTGTCAACTCATGCTTGCGTAGAGATTCGCCAAGCGGGGCATTCATCAAATACAGTAGCGGGGCCAGGATAGATCCCTGAGGAACGTTACAATCTAAGGGCGTGACCTAGATGCACCATCATCGATTATAACAACCTGGGTACGGTTTTCTAGGAAGGCATTAAACCAGTCTAGAAATTTACCCTGAAAGCCACAGCGACGCAAGATACCATGATCAACTGTATTCAACCATAAGAGAATCACCAAATTGTTTGAATGGTTTTTATCAGAACGGACCGCCGGCGATGTCTAAGTTTACCACAAATATAAAGAGGTTATCTTATCGGTTGTGAGGCTCAAAGTTCTTTGTTTTCCTTTTTCGTATTACATTAACCGAATAATTATTTGTATTATAAGTGTTAAACATATGAAATAAGATAAAAACAATCGATAACTTAACGTAAAACAATATAGAGCAGACTTACCCTTGAAATGAAACTAAGGCTACCTCCTTGGGTTCAGGAAGATGGGAAATAGCTCTCAAAAACTGAAACAATAATAAGTATAAAACATTTACATATCGAGTGAGGAGTACTAAAAACATTTTAAGAGTACTTTATGTCACTCAACAAGTACAAAAAGGGTTTAAGCCGGAAAAAAGAACAAGAAGTCCAAAGACTACAGCAAAGCTGATTTAAAACAACGTGTTTTGTTTTTTATACTGACAATATTTCGGGCTGGCCATACCAACCTTCTCCAGGTTTACAGATGTTACTGAACATATGTGGGAATCACAATATTAAGCCGGAGTTTACTTCTAAAGGTTTTAAGCTGAAGTGGATTGTCTGCTTGTCTGCTGGTTTGTTTTTTTTGCTATCAAGTAGTTATTAAGCTTATGGTCACCCAATATATAGCTTTTGGGCCGCCACAAAAAGCTATCCGCAAAAAGCCTCTGTTCAAACACAAGAATGGCTGTGCCGCGCCGATCTCGAAAGTAGAGCATATAATTCATAATTTTAAAAATCACATTTTGGTCACGTGACCAGCTACGAACTTACTCATTTTAAGAAAATGGTGCGGGTTTGAAAAACCAAATCACTATTCTTTTGTTTAAGACATGACCCACTAATCATTTTTCGAAAGAAAAATCATTAATAACTTTCATTTTTATTAAAACGATGTCACATGACCTCTTGGTACAAATGGCCCATTATGCCGGTGGACGCTGTTTAAAATTTATGAAGAATTGAAAGATATATTCGAGGAAAACAAGCAGGGTTTTAATTGGCAGTAAAATCCGTACTTTAACTCACTTCGTCGCATTTGAAGAACATTATGGCCGACAGGTGTCTCGCAAAACCATCGCGAAGTCTCTTGCTGAAGGTTGTACACTGCAATTCTCGGGGTTTACACGAGGAGAATCAATTACGATTCAGCAAAAGTGAGTAAACATTTACGTTTTTACTGAACAAAGAAACATTTCATTTCAGAATGATATTTCGCTACAAACTATGAGATTGGGAGTCGTGTGTTGAGAAAAGTTAAAAAATCGTGAGAGTCAATTGAAGGCAGAATCGTGAGCTTGGACCAGCTTTGGAGTCGAACAGCAAGTGCTGAACAGATCTTTTCGTCATGTTTATCGCCTGGAAGAGTAAAAAAGCTTCAAATGTTCATAAACTTCGGTCTAAAAGTTGACCATGGTGCCATTCTGAAACATTCAGAGTCCACATGACTATCTTATCGTCCTGTGAAATGTACAAAATGATTCATAATCTTACATCAAAAGCTCTGGGCTGCGAAATCAAGAGAAACAGCTGTGATCCTCGTCACACTTTGCTTTGGAGCACTTTGCTTTGGAGAAGCAATTGACCTCGTGGCAATGAGTTTGTACGTGCGCATTACGTAATAGCGTGAAGTTCAAAATGGCGACGAAAACGGCACAAATATGTGAGCAACCAAAGGAGTGTGAAGAATCCGACAGAAAGCGCCTCTACTGATGCTCGGTAGCCGCGCTACGAAATTGGTAACCGCGCCTTGAAGAATAGACTGCGTTCTCCTTCGTTGAACGCAATAATATCACAACAATTACCAACAGAAGTGCCTTGACAATTTTTTAAATTTTGATTAACTTACAATATAGTCAGTAAAGCTGAAAAAAGAGTGAAATTTAACATAAAGGTCAGATACGTCAATTGACTTTTAATTTAATTGCACATGCATGGCAGATGACATTGGGTTTTCTTCATTCAAAATTCAAGAGTGCAGTTAATTGCGAATAATCAGTGATTTTATAAATGTGTTGTTTTTCCAGGTTTGCTGGATTATAATCTGTGGAAATGGTTGTGATTAGAAGCAAAAACGTACACTAATCCCTTAATATCACTTACGAAATATTAGTGGAAATACAATTTTGAGAGAAAGCCATTTCAAACTACTTTGTTCAAATTTAAACCCTTTCAAGTCACTTTTTTATAGCTACATGATTGTCATTTCTCTTCATATTGCAGCTGTTCTAGTTACCAAGGAGACGATAATGAACTTTTATTATCAGTTTTTTTTAAAATCCGATAAAAGTGACAGACTCCAACTTAACTCGTTCAGTCGAATTATCGATCGTCTTCGCGTCGATTTCTTGGGTTTATGGTTTCGCTGCCACCGGCTAAAACAAAGATTCTTGCAAACCAGTCTGTTCGAAACAACATCTTGTTTGGGATTAGAAATGAACTCTTCCGTCGAGAAATCAAAAGTACACAGCGGTTGTGATTCACATAAAAAGTTGGGTATGCAGGGATGGCGACCAAGCTATGTTAACAGCGAAACATCAGCTGCATTTATATCGGTGATTATTGCCAATTCACTCGTGCTTCCATTTAGCATATGTTTAAACGTTCTGGTGATAATCGTTGTCATAAAAACACCTCGTCTGAGAAATAAGTACAACACTTTGTTGGCCAGTTTGGCCGGAGCTGACATTTTGACGGGTGCATTGGGGCAGCCAGTTTTCATTATCAAGCAAATATATCGACTAACAACCAAGATGAACTGCTTCATCGAAAATAACGATTTATTCTTCTACGTTCCACCAGTCATCGCATCAACGCAGCTTTTGACGTTAATGAGCATAGAGCGTTATATAGCAATAAAATATCCCTATAATTACCACGATATCTTTACCAAACACCGATTATTCGGAGGGATACTGACAGCTTGGTTTTATGCACTTGTTGTAATACAATTGAATTTGATATTTCCACAAAATTCAAGTCTTAGAGTGAGTTTTTCAATTTTTCGCATCCTAATTTTAATTTTAAGTTTGTGTATGTTAGTCTTTTGCCACGTTGCTGTTTATCACGAGGCCCAAAAGCAAATACGGAAAATTAGGGCACAGCAACTTTCTCCGGAAGCCAAGGAAACGTTTTTAAGAGAAAACAAAGCTTTGAAGACTACAAGGCTCGTTCTTGGGGCAGCGTTGTTCACCACTCTCCCTCATATGTTTATGAGAGTTGTTTTGTCACCTCGCATCGGCACATCTGTGATGGTATTTTTACTGGAAGCGATATCTCTGTCTATTGTGTTCTGCAACTCTTTATTCAACCCGTTGATTTACTGTATAAGAAACCGCCAGTATCGCGCAGCTTTTAAAAGAGTCCTACGGTTACGACGAAATCAAGTGCAATCAGCAGGGCTATCCAATTGAAGTGTTGTTGGCAGCAATTTTAAAAATCACAGTTACAGTTACATCAAGGGAAATAGATAGCCGCCACCTTTTAACTTTCCTCATGGCTGATCGAAATCCAAATTTTTCGAATGAAAGTCACTTTAGATCGGCTTAAACCATGCAGTCTTCACTTGAGCCCCTCGAACTTTTCACGTACGAAGTTTAGAATGGTATATTGTACTTAAAAAAGCAAGTTTCACTTGCTTTGTTCCTTAGATTTAACCGTGAAATCTTGCAAATAAATGGTTATTATTCCTTTGTAAATGAATGATTTTCCAGTAATCGGATATCCAGGTTTTGCGCACAGGATTCTGGGATCGCCAGGGGGCAAACATTGCGAGTCGCTACAAAGAAATGTATGGCGTCGAGTTGTTTCTCCGTTAAAAGCAGTGTCTTTGGACATAGAATGCCGCATTTTGCCGTGATTTTATGAGAAACGGAGGTGACTAATGTTGGTGCGTTGAAATTTCAAGTTTCTATGTGATTAATGCGATAAATTCTATCGATAAACACTCCTTGAGTGAGGTTGAGTTTGAAATTTTTGTTCACTGAATTTACACAGACATGAAGAATTCGAAGAAAAGGTCTCGAAATATACAGTGCAAATTTAGGTATACATGTAGGGGGATTGGCTCATTTAAGCGTTTAAGTTATAATTACGTGTGGTGATATTTACGACGAGTGTAGCTACGCTCGGCCGCGATCAGCGCTGTGCGGCGCTTTGCGGGTTGTGACAAGTCAACGATCGTAGGTATGTACGTGGCCATAAAAATAGAAAATCCTCCTCTACTTTGGTATAAACAAAATGACATCTACAAAATATTTCATGGAAAGTACATGGTATTTAACCATTAGTAGATGAGGCAGAAATCGTACAAACCAGTAAGATTTCCGATACAAAAGCGGTGAGTGTGAAAATCAATACCAAGTTGATGTGCCAAATTCAGAGATTCTATATCTTCCCTCAAAATGATTGGAAAAGGCATTAGAACTCATCGGTTCTCTGGATCATGACAAAACATTTCGCTTGTGTTTTTTTGGCGAGAAGAAATCAATATACTAATGAGCGGAAGATGTTTTTGTTTTTAAATTTATTCCATATCAAATTCGACAATACATAAGCTTACCTTCGATCGTTGTCACAAGCCGGCACAGCATTGTGATCGCCGCCGAGTGGAGCGTAATTACACTCGTTGTAAATATGAGCACATCTAAGTACAACTGGAAAGGCTTAAATGAGTCCGCATTCCCCGCTCATTTATACCTAAGTTAGTGCTATATATTTCGAGACCATTCAGTAAATTCACAGTCGACCTTTTGCAAGAATCAGTGTATATCGATAGATTTCATCGCATTGATCCCACAAAAACTTACAATTTCTTCGCACCAATATTAGTCACCTCCGCTTCTCATAAAATAACGGCAAAATGTTACGTTCTCTGTCCAAAGACACTGCTTTTAAAGGAGAAACAGCTCCACGCCATACAATCCTTTGAAGCGACTTGCAATGTTTGCCCCCTGGCGATCCCATAATCCTGTGCGGATAACTAAGTGTCCGATTACTGGAAAATCATTCATTATCTCAGAATAGCCACTTCGGGAGAGGTAATAAAGTTATTGAATTGTATTGTATGATCTTTCCAATTCGTTTACCCAAGATTGCTATAAAGACTCTGGGGCTTCTGTCTCGGAGTTGACCATCAATGGTGGACCATGCTTACAATTTATACAGTCAAACATTCGGTTGAAAATCTCATCCACAAACATTTAGCAATTAAATATGACCTCTTAACGGAACGAGCAACCCACGAGCGTAGCCAAGTCTTCTGAAGAGACTAAAATAAAAAGAGCACTGACTCTATAACTTCTCAAGCTTCCCCAACAAAAAGGCCCGAAAAATTTAATTTTCCAACGTTAATTTCCTTTTTTTTTCATGTAGTGTTTAAGACCCCCAGCTGCTTATGACCTGAAGCCAGTTGTTAAATAGACTAAATAGGGCTCACCCCTTTTTTCTTTGAAATTTACACCAGGCATTTTTTTCATGAACGCGGGCCGTACTTGACTTACAGAGGGCCTCTGAAATTTTTATATGAACGTTTAACAGCGGCCCTGTTGTCTGTATTTTTCATGTTCTTGCCAAAACAAGGGTTTAACTGATCCTTCCAAGAGCTACCAAAATTAAAACTGAGGTCAAATCTTAAAAGTGATGCATGTTCAGTAATTGTTTGTTGGTTTGTTTTTTTTTACATCATTTAAACAAAAATAGTACCATATACGCTGCCAAGGCTTACAAGCCATGCTATTGAAGATTGAACACCAACAGGGTTCGCTGAACCAGTCATCCTAACCAAATTTTTACCCCAGTTCTGTAATTTCGTCAGCTTTTATCCGCTGCCTATCGCATATCGTGGTCGCTAAAATGCGTTACTTTTAAAAGGTTTTTTTTTAACATTTCTTACTTGACGTTGGTTCACTAAAACAAAAATTATACAAACCCACTTCCTACGATCAACAAATTGCGTTTCGTTTTCACAATCTCATTCCCCGGGATGAGTGTTGCTCCCCTTTTCCGACGAAATTCCCGGCGAATCTCGCGGGGATGGATACGTACTTACCATGCATTTACATGGGAAATCCGGAAGTTCTGGTTGGAAAATTAATGTTTGATTCGAGCCATTCCGTTTAGGGCGCTTCAGAAAATATGGGCCGTGATTTGATGTAGTGTTTTTTTTTTTTGCAATTTTTCTACTCTTTTTAGTCTGTTCAGCTGATTTGGATGTACATCGTAGCGGGTCGTCCTCCCAACCACGTAAAATTTTATAGTTTTTAATATGTTTATGCAAAAAAATTTCCACCTCGGTGCAGTGGGTTTGAATAAGTGGCAAATAATCGTCGCAGCGGCTCTTTAAGGGACCGTCACCATAGGAATTTCGTCAACAGACTGAATCAGCATATGTACCCTATTTATTAAATAGTATCATACCAGTTCACTGATTTGTTTGCGCAACTTTATAAATTCCATCGACCGCTGGTCTCTCAGTTGCTCCCTGTAAGCTTCGCTGAGTATCTTTATTGTCACCATATAGAAGGATTCCTTCAGCTCTATTTAAAAACAAACAAAGCATTGTGTTCAGCTGATTAAGTGATCTACTCTTTGACTTGAAGACATCTACAGTCGGCTTCTGGTGCCTGTGTACCCGGAGTGGGGGTACTAAACAAAGTTTTATTCAGGGAGGCTGCTGTATACGCACTGTCAGTTTGAGATATGAATAAATCACAAAATCAGAGCGTTTCCACGATCTTTTCACAGCCATAAAGTGCATCTGTTTTGTCCTTTTGGGTTACAGACGGAAGTTACAGATTTCCCTACCCTTTCATATACCTTAACTAATTCAAAAAAGGGCCCTTTCCATTATCCTATGAAACAGCACTTGACAAAGCTGCATTATCCACTCTTTCTGACCGTCGGACAGTCTATTATCTGTATCAAATTTATAGGTAAGGTTCGGCCAGGTAACCCATTATACCCACTAATACACAACAGAGTGGTACCTATATCTACCAGTGTGTGTCTAAGATCAGGGAGTTCTAGCAGGCCCAAGGCCACAAGGACTGAACGTTTCTCAAATTTTGGTTAGTGTTAAATATTTATCTTGACAATCAATGTAGCGTATTAGTATTTATTATATAGACACGAGTGTTTTACTGGAAAATATACCACTCGTAAAATTCATAAAAACAACATCTGGGACCCGAGTGGTTTATTTTCCATAATCTCACGCGTGAGTTTATCGATGACGTAATTTCGGTCATTTCCCTCTGTTATCTTATCGATGTCTTTTTGTCTATATAATAAAAAAAACATTACACGGCGGCTTGAAGATATGAATTTTATTTTCTCGTGGCAAAAACAATATTTTACTCACTCGCTGCGCTCGTTCGTAAAATATTGTTTTGCCACTCGAAAATGAAATTCATACCTTCACGCCACCGTGTAATATCCTCTACATATATATATCACAACTTGTAAGGTATCCTACAATTCAGTCTTCCGACTGCAAAACGGACAATAAACCAGTGATTTGATTTGAGTTGATTTGATTCCCTACCCTTTCTGATACCTGAAGCCTGAAAAAGGTACCTTTTTAGGCAAAGCCTTCCTGTATAGGCCTTTTGAGTGAGTACCCCCGGGGGAGAGCTTGTACAAGATGAGCATTTGGAAAAGTAAAGCATCCGAGACAACTGCGGACCTTCGTATATCTATTTATTTATTTATTTATTTATTTATTTATTTGCCAGCTTTTCTGGACACAGGCCTGCCCAGAGGGAATGTGCACGAAAGGGACTCAAAGGTCCCATGCAAGGTGCCATCCCTGCCCAATCCCACACCCACAACCCGTAAAGGTTGGCCACACCACCGGGGTCTACGACCCCTAATCTTTTCGAATAGTGATGTAGGTTCTTTTACGTCCCACAAGAACAGATCAGTGAGAGTGCTGTGAGACGGGACCTACGGTTTTTCGTCCTTATCCGAGAAGACTTGAAAGTCTAACCATTTGCAGATGTCATTACAAAGGCAGCACTTTCTTCTCAGTTATTTAAAGACCCTGAGTGTTGGTCCGGCCGGGGTTTGAACCCGCGACCTCCCGCTCGGCAGACCGGCGCTCTCCCAACTGAGCTAACCAGGCGGCGGTCAATCCCCTGAGTACGAAACAAAATTCAGAAACGGTCTTAGCGCACTCAGATAACAGTTAGAATGACAATAGCTGACCTCGAAATTTTGATGACTTTACCTGGAGATCGAAGTTTTAGGGGGCGACTGTACACACCGATCCTGTTTTTGTACCCCAGGCGAGAACTAAACTCGTACACTGTTTCGTACTGAAACTTTCCAGTAAGAAATATTGACTGCGGAGGATTGTTGTAATGATCTTCAATCCATGCACTGTAACCCTCTTTTCTATATCGAACGAAAAGACTGCTAGGCTTTCTAATTCCGTTGCACTTGTCAGCTGACCATGAAATTTGTACCGTGGTGATGTTCGCGAAAACAACAACAAACGTTTTCGGTGGATCAGGCTCTGTAAACAGGAGATATTAAGTCAAGAAATGTACTTTTAAGCCAATTTACACAGTACACTAAAAATGTTTCGCCTTATCGTAATACGAAATAAAATAAGGCGGACGCAAAAATTGGATCAATTTTTGGTTTTCAGTTTGTCTTTTTCCTTATGGTCGAAAGATCGACCCGTGAATTGGCCGCCAATAGAACACCCGACAAATCGAATCGCGTAAACGAGCCTGTGATGTTTAACTTAATGTTAACTTCATTCAAGTAATTTTTTTCTGTTATTTTGCCTTTGAGGCGGTCTTAAACGTTCAACTTTAAATGTATTAAGTGATGCTTATTTGTATTTTTTTATCGTATGATATACTAAATGTTTTAAAGGCGTAGGTACTGTGGGCATTTAATTTGTGTGAAAATAATTGATGATGATGATAGATAAGGCGCAAAATTGACAACAAGAGCAAAAAAACTAAGAAAAACCTACCTAAGACTTCAAACGTAATGGTTGGTCTCGACCCATATCCTAGTGCATTGTACGGCATACAGGAATATGTTCCAGACAAACTGCAGCTCATGCTATTGATGCCGAGCGACGCCTGCCATTTTATGCCACTGACCAGGAGGATTCTATAGAATATTAGCTTAAACACAGAGCCGGGAATGCGCCATACGAATCTAGGCTTTGGTTCTGCTGTTACGAGGCAACGCACCCTCACTCGTTGCCCTTTGCTTACAAATATCTTTTGTGCGTCTTGGACGGCTGTACCATTGACTTCTAGATAAGTATCTGTTGGCTTAACTAGTTAGAAAAATGAGAACAAATAAAATATGTGATTTTCTTTTCAAAATCATCAAACATTGCCTTAAAAGAATGTGAATTCTGACTTTCTTTTTTTTTTGGACAATTTAAGCTATGTTTGATATAGAAATGGAGATTTTTGAAAACGATGATGTCGTACTAATCGTATATGACGGTTAGCCTTACGTAACATCAGTTGAAACCAGATTGGACACCTTATGAGATTTACACAACACATTATTCTCTTAACGTGACGATACAATAGCAGAACCCCACTAACCTTGTAGAATTACTGAAAAAAAAATAAAACACTGATCTGTAGTGTCCAGGGTTAAGCACTCAACTGAAAACGGCGAGGTTTCAAATATGATGATGGGATATGCCACAAGTACATGTATATTTTAAAAATTACTGGAATAGGTAGATAGTCCTCGATGCAGCCTCGTTCCCAGGTTCTTTCTCCTTTCCGTCTAGTCTCTCTCTCTCTCTCTCGCTGCGTAGGGCGGGTAGGAGAGAACCCTGGGAACGAAGTTGTCCTCGATGGTGTAGCGAATATGGATGTAGGCTTTGAAGCTAGTGATTCGGGTTCAAAACATCCCAGTTCTATTTATCTATTTTATTTTATATTACACAGTAAAGTTGGCGTTAAGTTGCTCCTCACTGAAAGAAACAATATGGCTTTAGCCGATGTTACCTAATGCTAACACTATACAACTAGCATTACGCATGCTCTGTAAGGGGTGCTATCGTATTTCCATCGTTTTAGCGTTTCATGTCGACGGGAGAAAACGATTCAAAAACGTTACATGTGAACTTGTATAAGAAAAAACTTTCCATTTCCAAAAGGACAGGGCCTGATCTATGAATAATAAAAAATACAGTGATGGAGAAGTCGAATCGAAGTTAGGCGGATGGGGGTTTCATATGTTACATAATTATGATCTCCAACTTTCACAATGGCTCCTATTGTCCGATCAGACTCGAGCAATTCGAGATGGCCTAGCACAGTTACAAGTGAAAACGAGGCTGGAGTTGACCTCGTTTTGATACAGCCCCATCTGCTGTATTATGTAAATCACGTTGTTTTTCTTTATGCCAACTATTTTTAAAGCATAATTTCCGTAATGAAAGGAAAGATGTTTGTATCAAAATAAGGTCAACTCAACCTCACATCCAGTCAAAGGCTAGGATACTAAGCCCACAACGCGCCTGAATCGCATCGTAGGTGTTTGTCGATGCTATTTTGTTCTGCCGCCAAATCGTCTAACGGGTTTTTTTGAAAACATTTTATTGGAAAAGACTATTCACTCATTCAGTTTTGGAAGAATGTAAATCGTTATTCAGTTTTAATGTCGGCATTGCTAAGTAATTGCAGTGACAACCTGGGACAAGGTAAAACCTAAATCAATTAAGCTTACTGTTTGTCCAGAAAGCAACACTCTTAATTTGGCTTTTTCCAACAACGTTGATGGCGTATATCTGGACATGATACTTCTCCCCTTTGGTAGCATTCTTGAGGTCGAATGTTCTTTTGTCAAAATAGCCAGCGTTATTCCACTTTATCGAAGAATACTTCTTGTATTGTACAACGAAGTGTGACTCTGGAAGGCACTTATAACCAGGAACGTTCTTCCACGTCATTTGTTTTGTTTGCGGATCCACCGCAATATTTGAGGGAGGCCGTGGTAAATCTGGTTGTAAAAAAGTCAGAACTCATTTGCCACTCGCACATATCCCAAAATGTACCTTGTTTGTCCCCTCAATATTTTTTATAAGCATTGTTTTCAATTTCTCTCGGGACGGCTGTAATACCCAGGAGAAATGAAAAACAAAGGGTTTATGCAAAATTTGGGGGAGCAAACAAGGTGTATTACGTGAGATGTGCAAGTGGTAAATAGTCACAGTGACATAGCCTTCTTGTTCTTCAAAGACTGAACATCACAGTTTGAGACCCTTTGCTGAAATATTGTGAATTATTATGTGTTATGATCAGTGAATAATACCCAGATGTCATATTCTTACCAAATATGGTAATGGTGAATTGTCGGTGGTCACTACCATACTTATTCGTCACCACACATGTATAATTTCCTGCTCGTTGGCAGCTGATGTCTTTAACTATCAGCAAACTCATTTTGTCATCTCTGTTGATTGTGTAATACGCACTGCTTTGGACGGTGTGATTGTCGTGATACCACGTGATGTTTGACGAGAAGTTTGTCGTGCATTGAAATGAAGTAGAATTGTGTAGATTGGTTGAATAATCTGTATTCCCCGTCAGAATAATCGGCGATCCTAACAAACACGAAAAACATACCTTGAGAAAGGACTAAGACGTTTAGCAGGGAAAATTTATAAGTTTCCATTCTTTAGCATGTTTTATTGCTGTTGTAAATGGATCAACTGTAATAAAAGGGGCGTTCGGAGCATACGATTGATTGGCAATATCGACTCTTGCTAGGATACCTACAACAAAATGAATTTTTTTCTCCAAAAAAAATCTTGAGGTCTTCTTGTGTCTTAAAAGTTTATTTATGGTCATGTGACGTGTCACGTGACCAAAAATTGAAAATGAAGGAAATTGGCCAATTGGTGGCGAATTACTTTGTTTGGATAAATAAATTGGCGTTTCTGATAGAGAGTGAATATACCTTACTTTCTACGTTCGGAATGAATGTCCACGAAGTTTAAAATTAAAGCTTTAAACATTAAATTCAAGATTAAATTAGGGCATTTGATATGACAGACAATTGAGAATTCTACAATGCTGATCGTACTACGTGAAAATTATCTTTGCAAGACATCAACACGACACCGAAAGCTGTCGACGGCTACAGCCCCGTTCTGTTTTGGGTTCTTTTGGTGTCGCGCTGATGTGTCTTGCAAAGTTAATTTTCACGTAGTACGATCAGCGTGGCCGCATTGGTATATTTTTGATGATCGGGTCTTCTTTTGATCCTACGTTCTGCAACATATTCGTTTGCGGTCCTTTGCAGTTAATGTTCAATTGGTATTTCAAATATTTTTTTCCCTCATTATTTTTTTCTGAGGTGCAATGGACAGTCATTCCAAACGTGAAGAGTTCGAAATATTTAATTGCAATGAGAAAAATTTTATTGCTTGATTTCTTTTCTTACACCTGCCACCATTTTGCCAATCATTTAAGATTTTTTGAAAAATGGTCTCGTGACATATCACGTGACTCAGAAACACAAAATTTTTACTTTATACTGTTAAGGACGATGAGTACTTTATTTGTGCAAAATTTTGATTCAGCTCATTATCCTCTGTGCCGAAGTTAGAAAGAGCCAATAAATAATTTTCCAAAGGTAAACCCAGGAGCATACCGGTCCCTACTAACCATTCAAAGCTGAGAAGAGTACAACGATCATTATGCAAGACCAGTCCCAAGCATTCCTCATCATAAGCCAAACTGAAACAACAAAATGTTAATATTGAGAAAGAAATGTATTAATAATATATATAGTTTGCTTTAGTTATAATGCAGTTCTGGTCATAATACTCAGATTGTCATGAAAACCAGAAAATTAAAACCTTCTGATCATTTCCTGTTTTCTGAGAAAAATTAACAATTTCAATAAAATAGAGCTACAACAACAACAACAACATAAGCTTTATTTGCATGACTATAATCATGTAGTTACAGTATTGCAAAAGCTTTAATATAAAAAAAAACAAACAAACAAACAAACAAACAAACAAATCATAACAATGATAATGCAATGATGACTGTAGTCAATCAAGTGTCATCAGCATGACTTGATAACAAATTATTACGTAAATCATTACATAATGAGACAAATTTCAACAAATGGGAAATTTACGGAAAAATTCTGTGAATTCATCAATTTAATTATTAATTCTGTGTAAGATAGCTGATCAAAATCGACAAAATTTTGTTGGGTTTGATCGTAGAATTTCTCCCTTGGGATTGAGTATTTTGGACAATGGAAGAGAAAATGAAATTCGTCTTCAATTATACCAGAGTTACAAATAGGACAGAGTCTATCGTTGCGGGAAGTTTGATTATATCTTCCAGTTTCAATCATGAGTTTGTGGTTACTTATACGAATTTTCACTAAATCTTTCCTATTCGCAGAATTTCTAATTAAGTCTAGATAACTTGAAATTTTATAATCATGTTTAAATAAGCTGTAAAATTGTAGTTTCTTAGAATGATGGATTGTATGTTGCCAATATGCAATATATTTTTGTTTTACTATATCTATATAGTGTTTGATCTTAGCTTCACTTAAATTATTAGGATCAAAATCAGGGAGGTCATAATATTCAGATATTTTCATAAGATTATTGTAAAAGCTATTTTTACCATTACAGTGAAGTTCTAGCGAAGTACGAAAGGCTTGTTTAACAATAGTATCCTCGTTTTTACGCAGAAGATACAATATGTAATAAAGGATGTTAATTGTTTTTATAAATATTAATAATTAATGGGAACCGTCCCAATTCACTTCTACTTGCAACATTTGAAGCTTTATTGCTTATTTCTAGGTAACGCTTGCCAAATTTCAAGTGGGTTTTTTCAATTGGGGTATTGTCCCAAGCTTTAAAATCATGTTTTACATATACACCCCAAATTTCGCTATTATATGATAATATCGGGGAAATCATCGTTTCAAATATTTTGCAAGAAAGAGAAGGTTTTAATTTGCTAAAGTTTGTGTGTTTTCTTAAACTAAAAAGAGCATGAAGAGCCTTCTCCTTCAAGTGTTCGAGGGAGATATTAAAATTACCGGTTGAGGAGATACGGGTTCCTAAATATGTATATTCATGGACAGTATCAATGGTTTCTTTACCTATATGGAATTCTAGATTGGAGTTTTTCTTCGCTCGTTTTTGAAAGACCATAACTTTGGTCTTTTTGGAATTTATATCTAACATCCAAGAGTTGCAAAAAGAGGATAATGTGTTGAGACAGTTCTGCAATCCGATTTTAGATCGTGATATAATAATTAAATCATCAGCATATAAAAGCGAATTTAATTTGGTACCATTTGGAAGCTTAACGACAGCTGACATATTACACATGATTACAGGTACGTTATATAGACAACCTGTTAGCGGATATTGATCTTTTTCTTTTTATTTTCTAAACATCAGTTTAAGAGCCAATAATCATATTATTTCAGCCACTCCTTCTCTTGAAAGAGGGTGTGAATGGGGTTAACCGACTAGCGACAAAGGGCAAAAAATATTACCGACTACCGACAAAACGCGGAAAAAATTACCGACTACCGACAGGAAAATTATTAACCGACTACCGACATGGACCGACATTACCTATATTTTTTTCAGAAAGAAGAGTATATTGTATTTTTCTACCTTTCTAGGAAGTAACCAAAGATACCACGTCACAAGCTTTTTACAAGTCAATAGCACAAAACGAGGATATTGAAATCGGTTTGCAGAGCGTATGCGAAAAATTTCTACAACCCGCCTAGTCCTAAACATTATATGCGACAAATGCTTAGATTAATCCTCAAAGAAAATTCTTTCCAGTTCAATGGAAAGCTCTACCTCCAAACCCACCGTACCGCGATGGGCACAAAGCAGTTTCCTCTGCCAACATTTTCATGTCATATATTGAAACACAAAGTCTATAAGCAGCTAAACCGTCTTTAAACCAGACATCGTAACTTTCTTCGAAGAAGCAAACTTACATGATTCTAACTATTAAATTCACCACCGAAATTCACTGAGACAATGTTTTTAGACACAGTTGTATACGAAGGCACAAGATTAAAGGAAAAAGTTATCCTTGATGTAAAGACTACGGAAACCTTCCACCACACATTTTGCGGCTTGTCACCCGCCGATTCGTCAAAAGAGTTTGAGGAAAGTGTTTCAAAATTCAAAAGAACGCTTGATGGTTGATGATGGACAGAGGCTACCAACACAATTTGAAAGACAAATTGCAATCAGAAATAAATGAAACTCACAGAAACCGAAGTCCGTGCTCCTGAAACAAAACCGAGCAAGGAAGGAAAAGAAATGTTGCTTTTAGTGACACAATAGGGAACTTTAAGAACCACGACGAAGTTCACGACGACGACGTCTGTTGACTAGAAAAAGACTGGAACGAGAACGTCAGTTTCGGCAGGAAAAAAGGAAAAAGGAAACTTAAGATGCAATCGGTCGGTAGGTCGACGACGACCACACTGAATGTAAACACAAATGAAAACTGTGATGTTCGTTCGCAACAAAGTTTTTCGCAATGGCGTCTTTTAAAACAATGCAAGATCTAATGTTTAAGCTGTACGTCTAATTTCATTGACGATGGAGAATTTTTTGTGTTGTCTTACCTTTTCGAGTGGAAAAACACCTGCTTTCCGCACAAAGATTATTCAACTTTAAACCTGAATGAGATGACCGAGTCCGAGTGTCTGTCAGAGTTTAGGTTTGGGAAAAGGGACATTCTGATGTGATAGCTGTTTTCCATATAAAGTTTACTTCCTCTATATTAAAGATATATGATTTGCCTTACCTAAATACGTACAAATAAATTTCTCACTTACGAGTTCGCTCGCTCGGCCTCCCCAGCTGTTGTAATTCTTCGAAGTAAAACAATTCATTTTTAGTCTTCATAGCCAATAACATCACGGTTTAACTGACAGACGACTAATAACATCGTGACTACCGCACAGGTTGTCGAAACGTCAGTCACTGTCAACAACAACAGTCCTATTCAGGACTACGTTCACCAGGGGTGGGGATTTGATTGTCTTTGTTGGCCCTGGGGTAGGGCATTTGACTGATCCAGGAGCCCATCAAATTTGATAGGCTCCTGACTGATCTTGTTCTCCCGGGGGGGCATATTTGAATCTTTCTTCGCCCGACGTGGATATATTTGACTGCCGACTTGGGCGAACAAGACTGATACCTAGCATCTGTTTCTCGCTGCCACGCTTCACGCATGCGCCGTACGGTTTGAAAAGATCAGGAAGTCATGGAGGCCATTGAGAACAAGCGAAGGCTGAGTGGATTTCACTGTTTTGTCTTCAAATTTCATTTCTTTGAGCGTTTTTTTGATCAATTGAACCTCTTAAAATACTGTGGTATCGAAGTAAACGAAAGTAAAGAAAAATCAAGTCGATTTTTGCAAGTACAATTGATTAGTGTATCAGCTCATTCGCTACAATCAGTGTAAACTTACGAAACTGACTTTTTTTTACCCTTTACTAAGAACGGTATATTTAAACTTACAAAATGTGGACTTTCTCCTAAAGGTTTATGTATTCTACGCAGTGTAACACGGATATGGTTAAAACGTATAATTGCAGCTGTAACAGGAACATGTATCTTTGGTGATGCAGAAACGTTTATAAAAGATTGCAGAGTTTTATTTGGAGATATTTTTATTGTGCCTTTCTTGGGTTCTGCCTTTGGATTGACAGCAATGTGCAGCCTAGGGTAAGGAAATTTGGTTGCATTTGACTGGAATGATTTGCCGGTGGGCAGGGAATTTAATTAAAAAGTCAAATCCCCACCCTACGCTCTGCCTCCCTCCCCGCCGGCATTACATTGATAGGTGCATTATACCTGCCGAATCTTGTGGATTGCAGGACGACGTGATTGTAGTTTGTTTGGCGTCGTCGACGACACCACGACGACGAAATTTGCGCAGTACACTGTAACTCACTTCTGGTCGTCGTCGACAAAGTTGTCGTCGTGGTTCTTAAGTTCCCTAATACCAGCCCTTAGTGTCTACTGTAAAAGAAGCTTTAATGGAAAAGTGGAATCTCATACAAAACCAACCGCTACTTTGCTAACTTTTTAAAGAACCACCCCTTATTTCCTAATAGAGAGGAAAACCATGGCAAAGAACATGCTTGTTAGAGCCAAAATATTAAAGGTCAACACACGGTTTCACGCAGGTATAGATGTGCAACCTGTCACCTCTTGCAGTTTTTCACCAAAAATAATTTACGTATCCAAAAGGTTAGAGTGGGCGTTTCCCTCTGTGTCCAATTAACCTCTCTTCATTACTTTCTATGGTGCCCTGTAATCAACAGGGAAACCAAGTTCGCATTTGCAATAAAAGCTTTGGTGAAATACACTATCATGTTGCATAATGAAGTTTAAGTTCAATCAGATCCATGATGCATTTTTACAAGTTTTACATGTTTTATAGCGATCAAAGTCTTGAAACTGAGTGAAATGCGCAACAAAAATTAATAATTAACATGCATTTTTACTTACTAACTGAGATTAACCGACAACCGACAAAGATCGAAAATTTTAACCGACTACCGACAAAGTAACTAAATTTTAACCGACAACCGACAAGTGGACCCCCCATTCAGACCCTCTTGAAATCGTCACCTATTTGGATTCCGCTCTTTTACTGTGTAGAAAAATTAAGAAATAAAATCAAGGAGAAAATTTCTTTTCTGGAGTGAAACGTTCTTTAATCCTTAACGTTCGTCTATAAGATACACTGAATTGAGAGCTATTTTTACATATGGCTACAGCCGTCTGCTCCAACATGAAAACAGCTGTGAACTACGGGACGGTACTTAACTCTTAGTCGACCCCCTTAGTTTATGGAAAACCTTCCGCTCAGGGTACCTTAAGTTATATGGTACCCGAGGCTTAAATTTGCTGGTTAAAGTGCCGCCTACCAACCAGAAAAAGGAAATTCCACGTTGTGACTTGGAAACCATTGCATGATTGTCGGAGCTGACCAGCTTAGGACATGTAGAAGATCTTTTTATTTGTAGGAGGCTGGTTGTAATGTAGGACAGAAGAACGGAAACACGCATGTAGAACATCCTTGAAGGCCAATAGAGATCAGCGTGATAAAATGATAGTGTATACACAAGGCTATATAGTCAACTCTCTCTAAGACGGACACCTTTGGGACCGGCACTAAGTGTCCGTCTTAGAGAGATGTCCGTCTTATAGAGAGTCAAATAAAAGGAGTAAAGAAAGGCAGGGACCAACTCTAACTGTCCGTTGAACAGAGGTGTCCGTCTTACAGAGGTGCAGTCCGTTAAGCGAAAGTCGACTGTATATGGTTTTATTGAGGAACAGAATTCTAGTTAAGGTTGAGCGAATAATAAATTGTTTTTAATTACACTTTGCTAGCAAAAGAATCAACGTTCGGACTAACAGTCCTCGATAAACTCAAGTTAACTGAGGTTACTTTGATGCAGTTACTACTGGAATAATATCGTGCAGTTTTGAAAGCTACACGTTACGGCTCAGAAATCAGAGAAAAAGAGATAAAACTCGTCCCAGCTAAGAACAGATTTTGAGAGTTTAATTCTTTTAGTAAATTTTTTAAAAACGAGAACAATGTGAATTAAAAGGTTTACCTCAAAGGATATTATTTCCAAATGAAAGATGCCTTTTAACTAAATTAGCTGAAAATGGACCACTTTACAGTGCGCAGAAGAAGATGACAAAAGTCGACAAAACCCGTATTGACTGGGCAGACGGTGGCATAATAGAGGCGACGTCAATCAAAAGATAACTATAAAACTTTCAGATAGTGACCATTAGCGAAAACAAAAACTATCCCTGTGGGAAAAAGAATCAAAATAATAGTTAATAATAATCACTAAGAGTTGGTTAACGTAAATAAGGTCGAAATTACAGGACAGCCAGATAGTATTCCCGCCGAATTAAAATTTTGTAATCTATAGAAATACAGCATGTTTGTCTTTTGACGTCCGCTCTGCAGATGTCCCATTTGCCTCTGTACACTAAATCAAGGGAATCTATTGAAAGGCGTTTAGATGAAAATGGACACCGTTTTTTCTTTTTTAAAAGAAGACGAGTCAGACAATACTCAAGCAGCTGTTTAAATTCGCATTGTGTTGAATCTATCTGAAATGGAATTGAATGTGTTCTTCAACATAGCCAACATAATTTTATCATATATTTGCTTCTATAGTAAACAATGTTTACTGGGAAACTTCGAAGACACTTGCCGACGATATTAATTTCTGGCCCCTTTCCGAGTCTTCTTTTCTTGAAAGATTTTACTTTACTCACCTGTCGAGCGATGTGTGAAAGAAAAGGTTAAATACAGCATGGTACCTAATCTCTCCGTATTCTGTCGGCATTGTTGTTAGACTGCAAACCAATTGCTTAGGTTCTTTCGGAGCAGTGCTAGTAGATAATTAGTACTGAAAATATCTAAGAAATAAAAATCATCGTGTATACAACGCAGTATTATCAGCTAGGGTCAACTCAATTTGTCTTGGGGCATGGAAAATAACTTTTTTTCCTGAGTGAAACCCTTTAAAGAAAATGAACGAAATTGGTACGTTATTGGGTCTTATTGTAGTAATGGCTGCAAGATGTTTTTTTGAAAGTTACACCATTCAAATTTAGATTAGATGTTCCTTTAATTTATGTCTTCAAACATGCGCTAAACCTTTGTAGCAGTGAGAGATATGAGGCTGTACGTTTTGTACAATTTATACAACTCGAGAATGAAAAGACTTCTGTTTATGCTCTTCCTATGTCCTGCAATCCGCCAAATTATAGTTATATAGTTATAGTCTCTATAATTTCTACCCTTTTCTATTACGACCTCACTTAGACCGTTCTATAATAAGCCGAATTCGGTTGTTTTCGGCCATTCACCGATATACAAGTGAAAAAACTCACCGTCAAAAACTTACTCAGGATGTAATAATCAGACTCTGCATTTTAACTAAATGTCAAGACTCCTTCTCAGGTTATCTCACAACATATTTCTCTTAACACCTTCTGGTTATGTTTCTTGAAGCAATTTTCAACCAATCGCCATGCACGCTGCCGGAGATGTCAGCCAGCCCTGTGACTCGCCAAGATGAGATCTAGATATCAGCTGATATGAAATTGTAACGTTCACAAAAGAAGTCGGTTTGTTAGATAACAATCTCTATTCACCCGTGAGAAGGAAATTGCATTCAACAGCCCATGGCTCAAATTCATGCCCGGTGATTTGTTTCTTTAAATATGACATCCACTAGTTGACAGTTAACATCAGTTAAAGACCCTCATGGCGCTTTTTTGCTTATCCTTAACCCTTTTTTGCGAAAAAAGAAAATGCGTTTTGAAACTTGTAGAGCCGTTTCCTCGCCATCTCTGACTATAAAGAGCTAACACCTACCACAAAACCGTTTATATGTCGTGCACTTTGCAACACTCTGATCCAGATGCAAAATCAGTTAGCTTTCTAAGTTTGGGCATGCGCAGATAGCTTTGACTTATTCTTTTCGCTTTCTCTCTATCCCTCTTCTTTCACTTTTCTTACCTCATCTTTTTTCTGTGACTAGGCATTTAGTAGGCATTTCGGTGGGAAATGTTTTTGGGAAAGCTTTTAGGTTCTTAGGATTAGATGCAAGGAAAGGTAAGTGGATGGTGGAACTAGATTTTCATGGAGATATTCAGGTCAACGTTGCATGTTTTGTTCGTCTATCTCTTGGGCCTCCTTGACTGAATCGTGGTATGGTTTGAAAGATCTTTTCACCCTGCAAAAGGTGAATCACAAATTTGACCATGACTGTCTAAACTGATGACGTCACAAGCGTTACACAGAAATGTGGATCCGCACGGGTGGTTACGTGTGCTTCTGTGAAGAATAGGTTAAACCCAGTTCACAGTGGCCTCCCACCCAGACGTTCTTAGGGCTTCGTCAGGCGTTTCTGCTCCGGAACCCGAGGAGCGTCCTCATTGGGAGGTTAAGTTCAGAGCGTCTGGATGGCCACAGCACGAAAAGTGAAATTTACCGAACTTTAGCTGATTTCTTAAAGTTCCGTAAAGTTCAGAGGCAAAGCTTTACGCAAGTTTACACTATCATGTAAAGGTGCATAAAGTCGACCCAGTAAAGCTGCCCGTCAAGCCGCCGTAAAAGATGCTTAAAGAGTGCACTTTACGACACGTGAGAAAAGTAGTGTAAAGCTACGTTAAGACGATCTTTACTTATTGCATAAGGGTTCGTAAAGATCCGTCGATAACGTTAGCCTCGAAAATGAACAATTTTTGTCTGCCTTGAACAGGACAGGGCCTGAAGTGAGTGCGTACACCTCTACCGGGAACAAAACAATCTACAAATGCTAGTCGACCTGTACTTAGGATTGAAGAGAAAACAGTTATTCCTGTGTGTAACTTCTTAGTCTCGTCACAAACTTTTGTTGCCTGGACTGGGTCCCGGTTGTTCAAAAGCTGAGTAGCGCTATCGTCTGTCATCCACAGAATAAGCCACCATCTGGTGAATAATTCATTCTTAGAGGAACCAATTACGTTATCGGCTGGTTAGTGATTTGTCCAGCAAATGTAGAATCCGGAATCCAGGGAATTCAGCTCAAGGGATCCGGAATCCTTCTGACGATTGGAATGTGGAGTCCTGTACAGGGATCCTGAATTTACAGCCTGGAATGCAGAATCCAAAAAGAATGGATCGGATCACCTTACATGGGGCCGGGAAAACAGAGGCAAATGCATGTGCACTTCTCATGGAGATATTGTAGATGGTTTAAGAGCCTTTCAAAACAAAAGTAAAAAAAATTCTGGGAAGGTTAAAGTATTGTAGTTTAATTTCTCACTAAAAGAATAATATATATCACGTTTCGCCATCTCTCCCACACAGATAGGCGTAAATCCGTAATCTATACTAAAACAATGTTTTAACTTTGTCCCTGAAATACCCTGTATGATAATGTTACCGGTTAACAGAAAAAAAGTTAGTTAATAACTAATTATTTGTGGGAACTCCCGTGATAGTGGCATCAATAAATAATTGCCTCTCGATTAAAAATATAACTTGAAAACCTGTCCACGCGCTTGCATACAAGATGTTAATAAAATCGAAAGAGTGCATTCGCAATCTGAGGAAAAAGCAATACAGCAAATGCTGTTCCAGTACTTTCTTTAATAAAGGAAATTACCATTTTTCTTTTATTTTGCCTTTAGTTACTGCTGTGTAAATAAGCGAATTCAAACAGAGATGTCAAGTCTCAAACTAACGTCTTCAGTCCTCTAAAGGGAGATTTTAAAACGCGATCAAAAAAATGACAGCTGCGAAATGATTCATATTATATTGAATTTCGTTTTTCGACTTCTAAAGATTGGTAAATTAATACAACTCACGTCTAAGAAGGAAAGTTATTTATCAACGACAGGATATTATTATTATTCCACAGTGGCATATTGACATCGCGGAGATAATCGGGAAATAAAAAGGAAAAAAAAAAGAAAGACAACGAATTCTGTTTCCTTGGTAACATATTAGCAATTCTATGAAGACGCCGGGCTTCCAAGCGAGGCCATATTATTTTTTCTTCTGTATTTCAGGTGTTTTGCAACGGAGCGCCTAACTGACAAATAGTTGTTTTACAAGTGTTCTGTTCTTTAAGTCACCTAAGAAAAGAGGAAGTATCGAGACTATCGCACAAAGGCTACCGAATTAAAGGAGACAAAAATCAAGAATTTATTGACACCGCGAACTGAACCTCGAGATGTTACTTTACTTGAAGATTATACACAGACAGGTTATTATTTCAAAAGTTTTTTGAAGCCGTCACATTGGAATTGAAATCGGGGTAAGTAAAGACTCAGAAAAATTTGACATTTTACTGAAAGTAGAATTCTAGAAAATTCATTTTATCAGGGATGCTCTTCTAGCTCATCGCCGTCATAGTAAGTTTATCTTCGCGAGCTACTCACCAATTTGCGTTTAAATCGACTTTCGTCCGTGCCTTATTCATATAAAGCGATACCTGCTATAAAACGTGTGTTATTTATACCTGAAAAGGAAATACAATGATTTGAAGCAAAAGGTGAATCTCGTGGTTGTTATAAGCGGTCTGCAACGATGACAAATTTAAAGCGGCGATGCATAGCGTTAGAAATGCAATTTCCGCGGTAATTTCTGATTGTCTTGATACCAGTATCTCGATCTGCGGCTCATGCCACGATTCGCAAAAATTCGCACTTATCATCCCCGCGTATCACAGCCGTAAACCCAAGTAAAAAAAAAGCGAATAAAGTTTTCGATGGCCTGCTCGTTAATTTTCGGCAAATGTTTAATGCTACAACAACTATCTAATTGAAGGAGCAAGTCGCAGTTATAATAATAATAATGATAAAAGAAGGAATACAAAACGGACTCATCGCTGTGTTTCTACAAAAAAAAAAGCGACAACGCGAATGACCAATTCACTTTATTTGAAAGAGGCAAGTTTTGAGTACCATCTTTCAAGGCTAATGTCATGTCCGTGTTCTTTAATGTTTCCATAATGAGCACTGATGCTATATAGAGCCTTCCGCCGTTAGAGATTTATACACTGCCCTTTTCAAAGATGCGGCAACCATAAGCGATGCATGAGACTTTGGAGAAAATGGCTTTAATTTATTACTCTCGTTTTTGGGGTAGAAGAATAGGCCTTATGTTAAAGCGGAGGCGTTGTGGAACACAATGGCAATATTTCCCGTGTCGAATTAGGTGTTTACCAAATGCAAATTCGAGGAGAAAATAAAACAACCATTTAAAATAAAGCATGGCGTCTTGAATTTTAAAACATGAAGGTACAGTTTGATAAAAAGGGACATTAAAATGTTCTAAATTGAAACTGGCACGTCCTCAGCAACGTTTTACGTCTCCTCAATTCACTTCGGCAAAGATTTATCACAATCGCTCGTTTAAATACATATAGCTCTTAAATATTAATATTGCCGTTGCCTTCGATTTAAAAAAGGGAGAAAAGAAAACAGATTTCACTGTCATTTTAAATTCAAGACGACAAAAAGACCGCTGTTTGCGTAGGTATTTACTTGTGGATCATGGAAGAACGTTTTTTCCTCGTCAGGCATTTTTTGGGTTGCCAAGGTGACAAACAAAGGGATATAAAATCTTTGAGATTAGCGGAAATATAAAATTTTAGATAAATACAGATTCTGCAGGTAATTTCTGTCTTTCTATATTAAAAAAGCGAACATGCATTAAAACATCTGTGTTGAAGTATACAATCTGCAGGTTAAAAGTAATTTACGAAGCAAGCGCTTGGTAATCGTTGCACCAATGCACGAACATAAAATCTCCGCACCAAAAAAAGATTTCGACCTTATTAATTTGCCAAATTCTCCTTAACGTTTAGATTGTATTTGTTTACAAAATTCAAAGAAAACCTTTTTCTTAAACAGATAGATTCGAAGGAGCAATTATCATGCATAGAACCGTAATTTCGTGTTGCGAGACTTTCTTAAATTCTCGAGGACAATTTATTTCCGTTTGTTACGGGTTATGTTCTTAGTAGGAGGGTAGAGTGTGATAATAACAAGCGGTGTTTTCGTCTTAGGCAAAAATTGTGTGATTCTAAGACGCTATTTCTTATATTTTATAACAATCAACAGAACCGCATGGGCTCTTGTTTGCAAATAACCTGCAATTAAATAAGTTTCTAGTCCGCGAAAAGGTGTGGAGCTGGCCAAGGGTTCAATTGAACCGTTACATATACAGGTACCTAAATCTCTGAAATGATGAAATCGGAGCGGAAACGTTGGTTTGAATGACTCGGTTTCTTATGACAGGTTTTTGTAGGGTTGTGAAACATGTAAGGTTGTCTTTACCGTAAATCTGCTTATCGGTTATTAATATCCGGCATGTTGATTTGTTTTTCTGACTTTGAAAATCGTAAGTCTTGAACTTAAGTTCTTTAACTGATTTTTATCAGTCCTTTGTAATTAAACTAGGCTTATCTGTGCCTGTTTTAGGCCTGAACAATCTTAAACAGTCACTCCTTGCCCCCTTCTCTGGATTCAAAGCATGCCTGTGAATCACACCTGGCTGAAACTATTTCAAAATTATCATTATTTTTACACTCTGTTTTACTTTCCTTCATTACTACGTTTACTATACGTTGCTCAGCAATTAAAATCTTAAGTACGCCTTAATGAGGATACTTACTAGTTTATTATGTGACAGCACTTCAGCTTAAAACGTGGATAACATCAATTAATGATAAACTTTGGGAAATCACTCTTGACGAACAGGTGTGATGGGACAGCTAAATCACGATATAAATCGCGAAAACGCGGATTAACACTTAACACAGATATCGCCGGAGGGGAAATTCAAATAATAAATGACATCTATGCTCCATGTTCCTTTAGATTTCCTATTTGTATATTCCAAGCGTGTGAGCAATAGTCTGAGATGTCATTTTTTTAAGGCGATAACTCCAAAGATCTGGATAGCATGATGACTATAGTTAAACTGCTCGTCGAGCTGTTCGGCAAAACAAGGCGTATAAAACCCAGCTGACTTGTTTTATCTACACTCGCTGTAAGTGGGCGATAGTTGCTCGAAGTCGAAGGAAGGGGAAGAGAGCAGATCAGTCCCATCTCGACTTGTCTTTTCCTCTCCGGCCTCTGAGAGTCGAAACGTTATCAGTTTTAGAGGAAATTAAACACATGTTTAGTGAACTTAACAGCTTCATTTGATTTATTAAATCGCTTTTTAGGAGGCTAAAAATGTCGCTTCAAGATGATGATACTTTGATGAATTATTTTAATTGCACCTGCTGTTCCATCCCGAGTCTGCTTGAAGTGTCTGAAGTCTAAATTTTAAATTAATGAACCTTTTTGTAAAATACTGTAAAACAAATAGTACTAGGAAAAGGGTCTATTAATAGACCCATAGCAAGCATATTTAAAATTTGATAAATTTGAAACTTTCAACAGCTGTTTGTATGTTACTTGCTTTAGGAAGAATTTTTGTCTTGTTACGGCCCTGTTCAATCCGCTCAATAGTTTTTAAAACTGTTGGCAATCTCAATGCTCTTGTCTAATTCCGCTTTCAAGTTTCCTACAGAACCGTCATTCTCTCTCCAGTGGGTGTCTCTCTCTCATCTGGTAAACATTATTTTACAGTAATGCACATATTTTCACTTCATCTTCCAATTTTCGTCCACCTCTTGCATTATTTCTGATCTGAATTAAAAGGTTAATTGACCATTAGTATCTTATTCACCAAAGAACACAGTATCCGCCCATTAGCCAGAAGATAATTAAGGTCCTTCTAAACTGAACCGGGCCGACCGAGCTGTAATACTGTGATCCTGCAGACGGCTATCTTACGATATAAATATAGGGAATATATAATATATACTACATAATATATATTAAATACGCCGAGAAGCATTTATTGTAAGTATAACGCTTAGAAAAATCCATGCGTGGTCTGCGCAAACAAATAACGCACTGGTAAGCTCTACGCGATTCAAGAAATACAATAATATAACTTTCTAAATTCCTATATGCCTGCGAAGGGTTGGTCTGCAAAGTATAAATATAATTACGCTTCGAAGATAAAGTGGCGTCGACAGATCACTGAAATCGGCGGCAGTCCACATCTCTAACGTAAACATGAATAGAAACCATTTTTGATGCAACAGCTCAGTGGTAAATTAAAACATCTGAAGATTCCTAACAACAACGGGGGAAAAGGAGCTCTGAGGTTGAGATGGTATGACCGCAACAGATCAAAGTGTCAAAAACGTTCCTTCAAGATTTAGTGGTAGAGGGGGAAGCAAGAGGGGGTAAAGGAAAAACAATGTCATGACCTGACAACATTTACCCAAACCTGGAAAACATCTTTTTTTAAGACTCAGAATCTACCGAAATAAATGGCAGAAATGGTGTATCAGTATTCAAAACGTACACATCATTTCTAGATGTGAGTCTCATCAGAGTCAAGTGTTAAAGCCAAGCCAATCTAGGTTGAATACGCTGTAACGCGCCTCTTATTGGTACATTGGTACCTTCATAATAACATTTTACCTTCCCTAGCCTTGCCACTTTCCTAGCAACATCAACCAGCTTAATTACTATTTCAGCTATTCATCTACACTGAATAGTCTTTTTTTTTTTCCCTCAACTCTGCCTTAACCAGAGATTTTTATTTAAATATAACAGTAATGTTATTTTACCAGGATGACCTCATCAGCATAAAAGTCCCGTTGTCAAGGAAGGTCCTGCAAGCAACAAATTGCTTGGTCAGTCTATCTGTCTGTTGTGTGCATCGTACAGCGCAGTTTGTTAGTCTTTGCTCGAAGTCACAAACCCTGATTCTTCAGTTTTTAAGGAATTTACTTATCTCATTCATCATCATCATCATTTGTCTTCATCATCCTCGTCGTCGTCGTCATCATCATCATCATCATCATCATCATCATCATCATCATCATCATCATCATCATCACCATCATCACCATCATCATCATCATCATCATTATCATCATTATCATCATCATCATCATCATCACCATCATCATCATCATTCATCATCATCATCATCATCATCATCATCATCATCATTATCATCATCATCATCATCATCATCACCATCATCACCATCATCATCATCATCATCATCATCATCATCATCATCATCACCACCACCACCACCACCATCATCATCATCATCATCATCATCATCATCATCATCATCATCATCATCATCATCATCAACACCATCATCGTCATCATCATCTACACTATCATCATCGTTATAGCCGACCTCATAATCCAAACTCTAGGCTATTTGCCTACTGTTTAATTATGATTAAGGACCAGGCAAGGAGTTTGTCATAGTGGGCATAGCACACAAGTCAATAGGGAGTTTACTATACCACGAACGCATAGGGAGCGAAAACGTCACCTAAAGAGGGACCTTGTGTTCTTTGAAACTTCAGCGCGATTTTCCCAACTGGCTCACTTTGTCTAATGCATTATCCAGCGGTCCCTGGCCTCAAAAAAAAAAAGTTTTCGGCCCTTCGGGCCCGATTTTCGTCTAAAAATAAGCGGGCGGGCCCCCCGGGCTCCTCCCCTGGATCCGCCACTGTAAGTTGTTGTTTTGGTAATCTAACCTAGTACTTGTTTGACCTTTTTCATTGGCTTAGCCGTAGTGACATCAGTCTTCAACTCCCTAATTCCAGTTGAATTAACATGATGCGGGTGGCGCTTATAATTAATCAGGAAGGCGATAAGGAGTACCTGGAAAATGAACGGAGTATAGACGAAAGGATGGACAAAGGCGACGTAAACAAAGGTCTCCGGCGCACACATCATGCATCAATTGAACAATTTACTGTCCTCACTAGATGTTAAAGGATCTTCAATTCCCATTAGCCAACTGCGAGTACGGATCGACCAGCACTCCCTCGACTCTCTCTGAACCTCGTAGGCATATAAGCCACCATCTTACTGCTGAGTTATCCTCAGCCTTAAAAAACAATCACACGGTGACTATTAAAGAGAACAAGCTTTTTCACGGACTAACCTAATTCTAACCACGCAAAGACGACGGCGACGAGAGAGAACGGCGTTCAGATAAGCCAGACAACAACTTTGCACGCGAAGCAGGCTTTTTTGTACATTTCTTTGCCGTCGTTGCACGACTACGACGTGAAACTTCCTAGTTCAATTTCTCCCTTTGTGGAGGACGTGGACACAGGCCAACGACCTTCTTTTTTTTTTTCCTGAACTTCAATTCAGCCTATTAAAATTCAACTGCTGAAAACTTTGCCAACATTTGACAAACTGAACGATATGGAATAAGCGCGATAAAGTTTGAAGCAGCGCGAACTCACTTTTTAAGTGAAGTTTTCGTAACCGTCTCCGGCGTTAGTGCTTAAGCTCCCTATACTGTGGCATGCGCAGTTTCTCTACGTTTTTGATAGGTTATATGACCTCGATACCGAGATTGGTCCTCATGAGGGGTGTTGTTTTTAGCCCCAATTAAATCCCAGGTCGGGACTCAGAAGGATTATACTTGGGGCAGCTGCAAGCGCAAGGAAAAAATATATTAAGAAAACAGAGAAAGATACGTTAACAATAGTGCCTGTCGAAATTTCCGGATGAAATCAATCCTTGCAGCTGCCAAACTGACTTTACTGATTACAAAACTCAAATAATTAAAGTGACAACATTTTGTGCACATCGAATAGAAGCCACTCAAACAGCACAATCAATGCAGCCGTACATTTGCAAGAGAAGTACGTACCACAACAAGGCTTATACATTAAGGCGTACACTTCCATGAAATCACTGCATTTAGTTCAGTCTTGAAATATAAAACATGACGCGCTAAAATGGCCACCTATCATAAGATATGGAAGCAAATTCATCATCTAAACGTAAGTAAGAAAATTTGCGCTCGATCTTTAAGAATATTTTGATCAGCAATATCGAAAAGGCAATTCGAGACTGCAAACGTTGAAGCCTGAGGTGAACATAAAACTCACTTTTTAAAAAACGTACTTTTATTAGTTGAAAATCAATGAATTCCGTACGAAATCTCAATTCCTTTTTTGTTCAATTTTATTTTACGTGGTGCCGATCCGAGCCACGCGAAGGTCTAGGCAATTTGTAGGGAAAAGGCAGTACTTTCATTTCTCAGTTGTTTTTTGAAAGACCTTGAATATTGGTCTGGCTCCGGGGATTGAACCGGTCAGTGACCTCCCGCTCTACAGTCGAGCGCTCCCTACCGACCGAGCTAGTCCTGCTGCAGGTTCGGTTAGTTAGGTATTATGATGCTCAATCACTTTTTGTGATTAAGAAAGGGGAAAATATGTTTCTACATTTGTGTCTGTATGTAACGTACTGTCGTGCAGAGTCGTACGTATGAATTTTTGTACTTCGTTGCGATACGAAAATGTATTAAAGAAAGAAACTGCTTGACACATTTTAAATACGGGTATCGATAATTAGAACTGAAATAACTTATTTCTTGAAATATCTCGGGGGCCAAGACGACTAGATTCAAAAAATGTTTCGTAGTTGCCTATGTCGCTAAATTTTTAAAATAAAAAATGAAAAGGATTATTACAAAAGTAAACAGTAACTTATAAGACATACATATCTTTCCAACAACAAAAAAACAAAATGTTTCCGCAAATGAATCAAGTTGAAAAGTGGCCACAAAAAAACACCCAGCGGTTTTAAAGCCATTAGCTACTTATGCGAGACATTTTTTATAACAATACATCCGCCGATCCCAAACTCAATCATTGCGAAAATTTAAAAACTACCTTTGAAGTTTGCTTTTTCGTTTGCCCCAGTTCATCAAAAAGGTTTGGCAGAAATGATTTTTTATCTTGATCAACAAGCCAAGATACAGATGAAAAAACTCCCTGAAGAAAAACGGTCACTAAATCGGCCTGTGTTTTAACGAAAAAATTTGTGCAAAGGACTTTTGTTCGCCTCAAATTTAAATTCGTAATCAGTTTCATAAAGCTAAAACACAAGTGAATTAAAGTGCTTGGAAATGCTTCAAGGTATTAATCAAGGAAGCGCCGGGATTCTAAGACTAATGTACTTTGATTCTATAAAAACCTTTTTTTTAAAATTCAACTGGCCGGGAAATTCTACGTTCAGATTATTTAATTCAAAAATAATCCTCATCCGGATTGGAAAATTTTGGGAACTAATGTTTGGTTAACAACCAAATTTACTTTCCGGAAAATACACAATAAAGTTAAATCATAATAAAGAAAATGGATGCATCAAATATAGGAATCACCAGTTTTTTTGGCCAATGAATTTATCTCACGCAAAATAGTCAGGGCAAATCTAATGTTTTGCGGTACTTTTCTTCCTAGAAAGTACACTGATTTGGCAACTGTACATTTTAAAATTTTTATTTAGCTTGTTTGTTCCTCATGTGGCTAATTCTGGGCAAGAGTCCATTATTTCATGTTGCTATTATAATTTTATTATAATTATTTTGTTTAGAAAATGCGTCACCAGAAAGGGTACCATCGTAACGCTTCCAGTCATGATTAATATATAGATTTAGCTAGGGTTAAAAGCGAAGCTGTCGATAATATTTATAGTTTGCTCAAACAAAATGTGAAATCGTGTAATACATAGAGGATATTACACGGTGGCGAGAAGATATGAATTTTATGTTCGAGTGGCAAGAACAATATCTCACTCGTTCGCTTCGCTCACTCGTGAGATATTGTTCTTGCCAAACATAAAATTCATATCTTCGAGCCAACGTGTAATGTTCTTTTTATTATATGGAGAAACCAATTCAACAAAAGCAAAAGGCGGGAATCGTGACGTCATTGAACGATACGACACTCACAAAGGTGACATACGGAAAATACGCCACTCGGGTCCCGGATGAAGTGGCGTATGGAATCTACGAGTGGTTTAGTTCCCAGTAAAACACTCTCCTCCATATAATAATAAAGGATATGTTGCCTGCGTGCAGACGTCTCCTATTTCCTTTGTTGCACGCGTGCAACAAAGGAAATAGGAGACGTCTGCACGCAGCAAAAGGATATGTTACACGGGGCGATTTGCAACAACGATTTTTAGCGCAACACAGCGTTACAGCATTGTTGTGACATTGTTTTGAATGGTTGCAAAATCGTTTCAACATTGCAACGCTGTATTGCGCTAAAAAACGTCGTTGCGATTCGTCCCGTATAACATCATCACCTTAAGCGGCGAAGGCAACAAGAACGATGAACAAACAACAATAGGTCTAATTAGCAAAAAACGGAACGTTGTACGGCCAGCACATACGGTATGCCGGGCATAGGACAGTTGTATTGATATCAGGAAACATCTTCCAAAACTTGGTCAAAGCTAGTTGCATTGGTTCTGAAAAATTTGTCGGGCTCTTTGAGCCAATTATGGAAACGGAGAAACTGATTTTGAATAAATAAATCAAACTGGCCGTAGATAGCGAAAATTTTAATCCACCTTAAACCTGGAATGAACTTCTATTGTTCTTTAAGCTTAAAATCTCTGGCACAATTTCATTCAACTGTTCAGTTAAGAATTCAACGCTTTTAATTATTCAAAACTTTCATTTTAGGAATACGGGGATAATTAAAATCCAGTGAAAATCTCCGTTATACTGACAGCATTGAATTTGAATTTTGCACTTTCCATTAATTATAGAAATCAAGATAAGCTCATTTTCTCTCATGGACTGATTTAGTATGTCTCCTTCAGAGTCGTGACGTAATTCGCAGCCTTTGATCCATGTTTCAAATGAACAAAAATTTCCTAGCTGTTGAGAACAGTCAGTACGTCACGAAAATGCTGCTTCGAGTTTGTAACAATATTGATCAGTTCAGTAATACTGGCCTCAGTGGTCTAGCGTTAACACTACAGTACTGACACTAGTACAAGAAGATTATTGAAAAGTGTTTTTGGCTATAACGATTGAGTTGAATTGAATTGTGTAATGTGTGGGCTAAGGACCAAAAACTTTGCCACGACGTTTTTACGTTCGACAGTGTTGGTTTAAGAAAAATCATACTCCAAAACCATGGACAATAAAGTTCGACGGTGTTGCTTCGGGGGAAATTGCTCCAAAAACCATTGACCAACCACTTGAGGCATCACCGAGACTTGACCTGAATGATTTTATCTCGTAAACGAAAACTTGGGAGAATTTTTGAAATACTGTCTGTTTGATATTCTTTGATAATACTAGCTATAAAAGGCCGGTATTTTTTCTAGAGAGCATCCAAATCTCTTCAAAATTCAAAGTTATGTTGTTTCGATCTTGGGCTTCCGATCTCGCTAAGGAGACTATTACTGCGTGTTTATTGGGACTTCCGTACGTATAGAAGCACATGTAAGTGTCATGTGAACGCACGTAAAGTGCTCCATGAGATGGGCACTGTGTAAGCATCATATTTTGACCGACGCAACATTCCATTGTTTTTATGACCGGCTATTTTTGGAATTAAGTAGAAGTCCATTGGCACTGTGGGTGAAATTTTAGTGAACGATATGGGAACGCAGTCTTTCACATTTCTTTTAATCATTAAAGTAGGAAAACATTACTTTTCATACTTTAAACGTCAAAGATAATCAATATTTTCCGCCATTTATTACGTTTGCCAGTTGCCGTTTCAAAGCTTAGCCATAAGGACACTATGTTTTAAAATGAACATGATCGAGTCTGAACTGAAGCTTTTTTTGACGTCGCACGGAATAAAATTATAGTTATTGAGGGAACAAAAATAAAGGAATAAAGAGCAAAATTTTTACCGGAATTTAAGAAGACCTCATGTGAAAGCACTTTGAATAGCAATCGTTTCCATACATTTATGTTATGTTTAATTATGTATGAAAAATGAAAAATGAATTTGATTTATGCTCATCGGCGATCTCAGTCAACTGCATTACAAAGAAATCAGACAGCTTAATTTCTTTTCTTCTACTATCGTGCAAGTTAAATAACGTAAAAGTAATCTGCCAGGAAAATGAAAGGAAAAACCGACTGTGTATGTTCTTGTTTTATCAATATATTAAGTTCTGACAAATTTTTAGATGATTACATAATTATTCACGCGCAGTTTTCTATTTAGTGGAAGACATAATAAAGTTTGACTTTAATATTTTATACTCATCGCTTCCGTGACTATCACTATGAATGACAGGAAACTTCCATAAAAAGACTTTTTCAAATAGCGGTCCGGCTAAGTCAATCACTGTCTACTTTCCCATATTTTTGTCTTTTTTGATCCCCCGTGAAAGTTAGTAATCACTCGAAGACGAAACAATCAAGCAGTTCATCACTTTTTGATCGCTGTTCGGCGAGGCTTAGTCGTCCGGGCTTTTTTGTCAACGCAATTTGTTAGTCAGTTCAAATCGGCTTGACTTGAATTTTCTGTATATTCCTCAAAATTCTCGTCATAGTCTCTGACCGATAATGTTTTAAAAAAAGGTACAGATCCGACAGAGTTACGAAAATTACTTTAGAAGGATGAATTGTTTTGATACACCGTCTATCAGCCAAACAGCGGGAAATCTAGCTAGGTTCTAGTTTTCAGATCTCTTATTATAGTATTATTTCTTTTCTAAATAAAAGAGCTCTTATTTGCTATTTTTAGCCCGAACTTGCGAAATTACAGGCTCAGAGGAGATAGGACAATGCGTGGTACGCGGGGGTCAAAATATTCTTTATTTAAGATACTATTGGACGATTCTTTTAAGACTTAATTAATTGCAGACATATCTAAATATCATAACTGTTGCTCCGAGACTTCTGGACTCTACTGAAAAGCTTGGCAATTATGTCCTTGCTTGTACAAGTTAAACAGATTTGGCAACGTTCGTGATTTGGCACGGAAATGCGAAGAGAAATGTTGAAGAAACTTAGCCAAAAAATCCTGAAGGTATGGATTCAAAAACAAAAATAGAATTCAATAATCGATATATTTTGCTGCATAACTGCATTATTTCAGGCGTTTTTAAGGTCATCTTGAGTAAATAAGGAACGAGTCTACGAGAAAATCGCAAGTTAGACAAGGCTTCTATTTTGAAATGTTAATGAAAAACATGAGAAAAAAAAATTATTGATAATTTTCACTGTATAACAGCTTACTGTGGTCTTGCTCATTGATGCGAAAAATCTAACCTCAACAGAACTGACCGACCTGAAAGAGTTTTGAAAAGAAACGCATTAAATAAGGTTTAATCTTAAAATGATAAAGTTGAACTTTAAGAAATTGTGTAACATTTCTCTCAAGGAAACAAACAGCAAAACAGGAAGGTAATGATAAGAGACAGTTGCATAATTTTTCACCTGAGTTTTTCCGCACGTACGTGGTCACAATTAGACATAACATAACCGCTCGCTTAGAAAACAGATTTTCTTTTAAAACTGATAACAGCTAAATTGCGGACAATAGCAAACTCAGCCAAGAATTGAAGTGAGAAGGAAATAAAACTGTTGAGTCAGGCAACGGCGAGTCATTTCGTCACAAATTTGAAATTTTATGAGCCTTATTTTAAGACTTTTCAAATCTGATAATGAACTAGTAAGATTTAAAATACAAGTATTGGACCTCAGACGGTGATACATAAAGGAAAAAAATGCTCCAGAGATTGTTTTGGGGTTAACTTTGTAAAAGATTTTCTTAGAACAACTAGTGTTTCAATAAGCATTACATTAATTACTTGTTTTTAAAAGCGTATATTTAACTATGTTTCCTTGAAAAGAAAACATGCTCGTCAAAAGCTGGCAACCACAATGGTATTACTATGGTAATATAGCAACATGTAATCTTGGCTTTATTTAGGGCTCCAAACTTTTTATTTTTGTCTTTTTTTGGCTCACGCGATGTTCGCTTTTCCTCTAAAGTGTTTCAGGAAATGAATAAGAGTCTTTCAGTAATAAGCTGTGGTTCAATCTATCTGCTTTGACCAACATTATAAATTATTGTGGTTACAAAAAAGAACAAAATTGTATTTGGACTTATTGATCAGGGGCGTCAGTCATGTAGGGAATCTCAATAACTTTTACCTCATAATCAGGGAAACCCAACGACGTTTTCCTGTAAAATAACTGTTCGAAGGAGCAAATATTGCCTAATAATTTCTAAAGCTCGAGAAAGGCTAAAAATGTCTGGATCTCTGTCTAAGATATTCGGAGGTTTTCTACTAACTTAGCCACCGACAATTTTCCGAGGTTGTGACACGTACTCAGTTTCTCACATTTTATCTCCAAGATGGTGCTATTATTGTTGAAAAGGTCTACTTAAAATTTCAGCATAATTAGACAAAGCGTCCCCTAAAGTTTTCACGTGAACGTAAGGCTATTCCATGTCCTCAAACTTTTGACCGGATCCATCAGTGCAGATCCATTAAGGTAGAACAGTTTCGGATGACACGAAAAAGCCACCTTAAACTTTTGAAACCGCTCCCTATTAAAACATCCGAACAGATAAATAATTCGTAGGGCAACCGCCCAAATTAATCACACAGGCGTCTATACAGGGGCACCCAACGAGAATATGGTTCAAAACCACGAAAACATAGCATTGTTAAACGTATTTTGGTATTTAAACGGTAGATATAGGCATATTTTCATCCCCTAAAAACTTTTCATCTGTTCGGATTTCCTAGCTGAAAGTCTAGTAATCCGAAAATTATAGGGATCAAAACTTACCTTTTGGAAAATTTCAGCCAGAAAAAAGGCTCCCGAAAATTCTAGGTGACCTTATTAAGGTAAAAATCCGTCAAAAATAGGCAATTATACCATATTTTAGATGTTCGAAAATCCTAGGAGAAGCAGGCAAGCAAGAAATTTTACAGCAAATGTTCCGAAAATTCTAGATCTCAAATCGTCTTCCGAACAGATATTTTTCCGAAAATTGTCGTTGGGTGCCCCTGTCTATAAGGCAAAGAGAAAACCATTTGAGATACTGGTTTTTCATTTGCAAACATTCGGTTGTAGGGTGCCTCTGTTATAATTACTAGGAAGACTTTATGATGATCATGATGAGTATTTGAAACCACAATAAAATCATCTACTTGTTTTATCACTTGCTCGTTTTCTATCAGTATCACCGTAACTAGACCACCTGAGGGTGGGAAGGAGAGGGGGCGGGGAAGGGAAGGACGAAAGTACCTGAATAACCAAGCCGTAAAAAAAAAACATATATACCTAATAGAAACCTTTTTGCACGAGCTTGCAAAATGATAAATAAATAATAAATAATAAATAAATAAATGGATGTCTCAGGTGAATCGCTAATTCTCATGCACTTTATCTATCGTAAAACTTCTAACCTCTAGCTCGTGAGGCTAATATTCACGTATAAAACTGCGGCCAGCTAAATTAAGGGCAACAAAAACATGCAACTTGCCATAATTTTGCAACAATGCGGCAAAACGAGTTAAAAAGCGATGTTTCGCTTTTTACCACCCACGAATCAAACCTATTGCAGCAAATTAGGCTGTTGCAGGTTGCGAAAAGTTGTGGAAACTTAAGGTGAATAGCAGCCCTTTTTGCAACAAAATCGTGACATATATATATATTTCATATAACAGTAACACTCATTTTTTTCACGGGAACATTTCAACCCACAATTGACCTGCTCCCAACGTCAGTGGCTTCGTAGCTCAGTTGGTAGAGCATCACACCCGTATCGCGAGGCCACGGGTTCAAACCCCGTTGAAGTCCTGAATTTTTTTTTTCAGGCTTCTTTACGCAATTGCATAAATTGCGTTTACTGCGACGATCATTTCTTCATTTTCAAAATCGTGACAGCAACTAACTTCATCTTCGCGTGATCATATCCTATCAAAAGTCGTTGTCGCGCAGCTAGAATACATTGCAACAATCAGGCTTACATAAATCGCCTGCCAAAACGCCGGCAACTAATACGTGAACGTGATAGTTTTTTCGCAGTGTGGTCTATTAGGGTGCTTTCCGCCTTACAACTCTTCTCTTCTTGCACAAAAAAGGAATGTTCCACGCAGAAAATTTTAGTATGCCTAGGTTTAACAAACCCCATGCTCCACATTACCTTTTCATTTTACCCTTGTTCCCAGACAATTGCCCTAGACACACCATCCCAGAAGATTAGACATCCACACATGGTCCAAATAAACGGATTAACTTATAAACACTTAAAGTGGGAAGAGGTCCGCTTTACCATGATAAGATCAGATTGTCTTATCCGATTTAGCTTATAGACGACAAAAAGAATTATTAAAAAGTTGTTTAAAATCCTTAAAAATGGAAACGGTTTGGTTTGGTTTCGTTTTATTTGTAAACATTAATGCAAAGACTATAACGAAATTTTGGTGAGTCACAGCCAAAGAATGGAATTCAAAGACCTTTTTTCAACCTCAAAATATTCCATATACAGTTTTATTTCACTATATTAAATTCTTAAACTTTTAAATTAGTTATGACATTATAGTTTCAGTTTTATTGCTCTGCTAAAACATTAGTCGAAGCCAAGACAAAGCTTTGATGACCGTAAATGCTAATAAATCTGTCAACTCTAGATTTAAATTGAAAAATCAAAAGACTGCGAAGTGGAATAAAAAAAACTGCGCTCTGTTATTATCTATGCGAGGCCAAATGAAGTATAGATGCTTTAAGACACGACAATGTGTTAAGAACATCTAAGCAAGCTTTTTTTTGTCTATCAATTTTTTATAGCCGTTTCCTATTTTTCTTATCACAAATGCCGTAACGGGCTCGTATTAAACCGCCATGTTTTTTTGGTATAAAGAAGCAACGAAAATAAAAAACATTATTCAAATCCACCATCAAAGTGCTGTTCCGACAAAAATATCCGTGACATTAGGGTAAATATATTAACAAGTGATAAGCAAAAGGGTTATAAAACACGTTTTTTCAAGTCTTTGGCGTGTTAAAACAAAACAACTTTCAGGTGCACAGTTGAGTCAATTTTTACCCACTCTCTTTCGTAAGGGGTGGCTAAATTCTGTTTTTAAGATAGTCTTTCTTCAGCGTTTGTAGGCGCCAAGTAGTCAGCTGTGAATTGAAAGCAATTTTGGTAAGTTCAATTTTATTTCAACGTTATCTTTCAATGAATTTCGGGTCGCGCGTGTTAACTGACTGTCACTGTGAAACTTTTAAGTTTTATCTTAGTTTGCTTTTTAACTGGACTGCGGCCATATGTTAGCCAACTCATCAAATGCAGCGAAAACGATTGAATGAATCGAAATTGTATAGTTAGATAAAATTTTATGACGAAGAGATTCCTAAGAGGGAAAATGAAAATGTTTATACTTTACTAGCCAACGCGAAAGGGAAAAATAATTGGACATCAAGAAATCACCGCCATAATGCAAATACCTGATTTAAAATACCAGAAGCCTTAATGAATAAACGTTTCACTGCACGTGTAAATCAGCGTCTCCTATGAGATCAATTAAGCAGAAGAGTAAAAGAATTCTAGGGGCAAAGAAGTGGTCTAATATGACCATAGCCAGTCGTTCAAAATACTAATTTAATACTACGAAGGACGCAAATTACTTTATCGTTGTAGGTGACAAGCAGCGACTCAAAATGTTGACATGGTAACTGCCGTGTTTATTGACAGTACCTTAGTTCTGTAGATGAATATGAATATTGAGCTTTTTCAGTTGCTACCTTAAGGAACAACGTACACTATACTGTTTTTGTTTTTAGATAAGCAAATAAATCCCAGTAAGTTACTCACAATCCAAACAAGTAGAAATGGTCAAAAACTTTCACTTGGAAATCTTTCATACCTTAGCGGTTTGGTTAGAAGAAAAAGACAGTTGAACGCTGTAAGCGGTCATTTCTGAAAACGTTTAGTGAATCTTGGCGTTGTTTTAAGAGAATTAAATTAACAGCAAAATCCGTGGACGAGGATCCTGCTGGTTATCAACGTTTTAAGAAAGGTCGCTTAAGGGAGTTCGATTTACTGGTAAAAAACACGTTATAATTAAGTAAACGTAGTCAGTTTTGAAGCTCTAGCTTTCAACTTAATCTTGTGGATATTTTTACAACTAGTTGCCTACTGGATTTGAGTTTCAATTTTTCTCACTATTTTGTTAACATCTGTTGGTGTTCGTCAACCTTTGAAGAGTACCTTTTCGTCTGATATAGTGAAACAGACGGCCGGAGCACTGTACGAAGGAATACATATTATATACCAGTCAATCCCGCTTTGGAGGATATTGTTCACCGACGGACCCCAGGCCGCCTTAGTGACCGAACGGTCAATGATGTTTATTCGCGATGTGTTTATCTTTTTATCACCCTGGTACACCTCCAAAAAAGCGAAGGAAACAAAAGATAAAAGCGTTGTTGCTCTTGAACTACAGTAATAGCCTCCACTCTCAAGGTTTTAATTCGCAAAATAATGTCGGATCACTGACTTGTAAATAAAAGCGTGTTTAAATACGAATTTTTAACAACTTTTTTAACAAGGATTACTTTCAAATATATTTTTATTCCATAAAAATGCAGAATCCCTCGATAATGGATCCCTAAAACAGTATGAATGCATACTCTTCAAAAAAATGAATAAACAATGAATTTGATCTCGTTAGTATGTGGCAGTAAAGTGCTGTACACACTTGCGTATGAAACGTTCTGCTAAAAGCTTCGGTTTTAGCAGACCATCGATCACTTACAGGGTGAAAAAGGCCCACATTAAGACAATACCCCACAAATGGCTTACATTTGGAATCGGCTCTATGCGACGAATCAGTTGGACTAAAGCCCAGATTTCTTTTCTGTAATTATTCATAAACTGTCTGGAAAACACCTGCCGGCCTGAACGGAATGAATTTTTGTCCCTTTTTTTTCCTGAAAATGTAATTATTTTGTTAAATTGCGTCGCACTTGCAAAATAATCCCCCGTTCTAAGAATCGCGTCTTTGAAAGCACTGAGGCACTGACAGCCTTTACAATACATTAACTCTGAGTTCACGCCTGCATATTCGCCAGCAGCAAACAGAGAAGTTATCATGGAGAGCTATCGAGAATTCAAAAACGAGGTAAAGCGAAAGTTTTTTCACTTTGATACTTTACCTATTAAGTAATTTTAAGTTCGGATATTACCACGGAATATCGCTGAAGACCAACACTGACAATGATTTAAAGTTGGTGAATCGAGGAACAATTATATCGGCTCCCGAAAGAGTATTATTTCTTTTTCTTGACCAGCATTTTAATATTATTCTTAATGGCAAAGCGCAAAAATTTTGCTATGTTTTAGCAGCCATTGTAAAGACTAATTCTAGCCTGAGCAAGGTTGGAAGTTGAGTCACTACCGAATAACTTTCCTGTAAAGCTTAGTATTGCCTTCCGCAAAACCCTGACTGATTTTAAAAGCGCGGAACCTAAATAGTAAATTATTCATTCGAACTCCAAGAATTGGCGACTCTATACTGGAATCTAGCTAGTCATCCAAACTCTTCTTGCTAAAAGTGGTTTTATTGTGTAATAACAGATGCTGAATGCCGTTTTCAGCATTTTACGATATTCTGACCACAGACGCCATTAACCTGACGCTTCAGCGTCGAGTTTGAACTAGTGTATTGCTTTATCGTACAACTGTATACAGATGAATCTATTGGCTTTCATTTTTCATGTTTTCAAAATAACCTTCTTTGATGGTTCCCGAAAGTGGGGGGATAATATCCATAATTTTTAATATGAGAAGACAGAAGAGAAAATTGAACGCATTTAAAATTTGGTGAAATTATATATTACTGAATAAACACTGACTTCAACATGACAGAATTAAACTCATAACATACGCCGTTCCTCTCATAGCACGATACACAAGTAGCGATCAATTTGCTTCTTAGCCTATATCTCTTTATCCCAAAGATACCCTAACGCTGTTAATTTTTTTTTAAATGACTCTTCTCATACTATTCTCTCTGTTGGAGATTTCGCTAACGATCAAAAGTAAATTAATGGTTTTACGGATTCCAAATAAATATTTTATTACACAACTCGAAGGCAATGATACTGTATACTAGTTTAGTATTCTTTTTGTCACTGTCTTTTCTTGGGATTGCAGATCAGTTACGAGGGATAAAAATGATGCTATACAAAGCTTTTGATCAAAAGCTGTTCACGGCTTTCAAACTTTACAATACTCATTGCTAATATTACGTTAGAGGCCGAAAGCCCTCAGTGATAGCGTTTGATTTTCGTCGACTCCAATCTTTCTTTTACGTATTTTTTGCGTTTATTTCAAGTCATATTTTAATTAGTCTCAGTGCAACAAGCGTGCTACAACTACATTTTTGGGTCCACCTAGATTTCACAAGAGCGTAACCTAAGAAAATCCGAAAACGAATTGTTCAGTAATAATAAATTTGCTGTCACCTGCAGGGGGTCATGTATAATTCATGTAATCGTCCTGCTCATCTCTGTTCAAACACCTTTTTCCTGTGACGTTTAATCTAAATAGCTCCTTAATTGTTCCAAATCTGTTGCGCCAAAGTTGAAGTTTTTTTAAAATTTGTTTTGGGGGGTCACTGTCTTAGAATAAATTGTCTAGGCTAATCACTCGATACTGAGAATTCTTCAAAATTGCTATCTTTGAATGTTGAAAAAAGAAAGTCGATTTTTCTGTTGAATTTTTTATTTGTCCATTTATGAGGAGTGTAAGTGTAAATGAATATGTATAAAACGTGTTTTCTTTCTAAATAAACAATAAAAAAAGCAATGCTTGCTATACAATTGATTTATTTCAATTTTTTTTTCTGTGGAAGAAAATATAATCTCATAGCTGCCCTGTCAAATTCGCTTTTTTACTGTTTGCTTATAAAAAAAGTTGCTCAGATCCATCAGGATCTGCCGGTTGACCCTTGCTATTTATTAAGTACAATAATATTTGTAGTCTCCTTCGCAGCTGCTCGGGCCGGAGTCACGCAATGCTCCCCACCCCCATTGCGTGATTCCGGCCCGAGCGGCTGCGAAGAAGACTACATGTATTTATTGAAGATATTTTCTTTATGTTTATAGCCGATGGGGGGGTGCTCATCGGCTGTAGCCCCAGAAGACCCAAACGGCGGACAGCAAACTGTTAAAAACAACTGGTGTGCCTGTTGTGGATCAAGGTAAGCAATGCGTACACAAAAAGAAAAATAATAATAAAAATTTTTTATTGAGGTTAGAACTTAATATCTCTTGATAATCTGCACGTGGCCCTCGGAACAAAAAATAAATCAAAAAACACAAAAATCAATCAAAAAAACTATGATTTTCATGGGCAAGAATTTGAAGATAAACGGCTAACTAAGGAATTGCTAAAGATGTCCATTGCAATTTACAAACTTCAATTGGCATAAGTTTGTTTTCGAAAGAGCACGTCAAGCTAGAGCAGTCTTTCAACTCCTCAGGAAGTCTGTTCGACAAGCTTGCAGCACTAAAAATAAAAAGCAAAAAACAAAACAAATTTAAAGAAGAATAAAGAAATAGATATTTTGAAGTCGGGTAGCGAGCATTTTAAATTTGCCCTAGAGCCGTGTTATGTGACAGAGAGAGAGACTTGATGATTAAAAAGGGCAAAAGTAGTTCAATATTTAATTATTTTCGCTGAATAATCTGATCAGAATGCTGGTTTGCATTTTTTACTTGCAGGCAGGACTCTACAGCTGCCTTGTTGGCCCAAAAAGAAAAGGATCTTGACTGTGAAAGGTAAACCCCCTTCAATATTCAAAATATGTTTTTTGTTTCTCTCTTCAATTATTCACATGTATTCAATCGAAACATAAGTTAAGGGGGCAGTTTTGTTGAAAGCATTGTTTTTTGTTCGCTCGTCCTTTTCTTAATATTTAAAGATTTCATTCAATAAAAAATTGATTCCATTAATGGTACCTTTACCTGCTTGTTGTTTTGTTTGCTCACGCCTGATTGGCTCTTCCATTGCAACACAATAACATTTCAGAAATATTTTTGGTGTTAACGGCTTTGTGAAGTTTTACAGCCATCCTGGTGTCGAATTTGTTTCTACTTATGATGGTTATTACGGGCGAGCAAACGCGAGCCCGCTGAAGTATTGCGGGTGGGGGTGCTCAGCGGCACTGTATAAACTGTGTAGCAAGGTTTTTCTAAAATCTGTCCACATCCCTTGAAATGCCTTTGTCCTGCGTACTAATATGAAAGGAATGTGGCCGTGAAGGTCCTGGTGTTTTAAGGTCCATTTAATGTCACTGCAGAGACTGTGGTCACGATAATCACTTGAATGCGTATGCAAGTGACTCAACAATAGCCTGCAATATTTGCTTGATTCGCAAACACACGTATATAAAGGTATATAAAGTTACTTTAGGTTACACTACAGTGCATGGGGATCTGCATGGTCTTTCACATTTTATGCGTTTCCAAGCATGTTTCGTCGCTTGTCATCTGAAAGCTTCAATAATATTTAATTTAAGCTTTTTCATTATTTTCTATTGCATCTCAACGACCCTTGGTCATTGAACAGGGATTGAATAACCTATTGTATAATAGACTTCGTGCAGTCATGACTGTATACATTTCAAGTTGAGCGTTGTTTTGTCACGCAATGCTGTTTCCATTGTATCTTTGCCTGCGAATACAGCCGTCTCTTCTCGCTCCTTACCATTTGCAGTCTATTAAAGTGTATCTAAGTAACCGTGAATAAGAGCGTTGAATTCAATATAAGTCTTGTTTACTCTGTTGTTAAATTTAAGTTCTCGCAATCATGATCCACTCTTATTCCTTTTGTTGACACTGGAAATAACAGCAGTGAGGGCTTTCTCTGATTCACGTTACGAAAGCGGTTCTCAACATGAATCACATCTCTAAGGTAAACGCACATGTTCGCGCGCACTTTCTAACCATCGGTTACTGCTAGTTCCACATATTCTACTTCATGTAACCCTGTATTGCAATGGAAAATTGTATAATATGAATGAATGAATGAATGGGTGAGAAGCGCCCTTATTGTTGTGACGTGATTATACATTTATTAATTGATTCGTTTCCCACGTACTGAGCTTTTGAAACGACATAAGTTACTGTGCCTTCCGTTACGCTGCTCGAATTCTCGAATAAATGCCCCGAGTTAACTTTGGAAGAGTTCCGGGGTGTTTTCGGGTGAAGTTCGAGAAGCCTAACGCTAACACTGTTTGTTTACTCTCTTATCGACAGACCAACCGCAGAAGAAGCTAAGAAGTGGCAAACGTCCTTTGAATCTGTGCTTAGGCATAAGTTTGGCATTCAACTGTTTCAGGAATTTCTTCGTTCCCAGTACGGCGAGGAAAACCTCAACTTTTGGCTAGCGGTTGAAGAATACAAGAAACTCGACGAAAGCAGCAGGGCGGAAAGAGCAAGAATGATTTATGAAGATTATGTTTCCACTCTATCACCAACAGAGGTTAGACACTGATTTCTACCACTTTTTCTATTTTACCTTTCAAGGAGACTTTGTCACGCCAATTTCATTTTTAATTTGCTTTGTTTTGCCAATAGGCCCGTTGCAAAACCTTGTCACGTTCTTAGATACCACTTAGCAACGGCTCGCCAGTTGGCAACCCGAAGCGTTCATTCAGGTCACAAAGCTTTGCATGTGATTGAGCGAAGCCTTTCTACGTTAATTCAACGTTTTTAAGTCTTCTATTCCCAGTTACTTCGGTTAATATTCATCAGAATGATTAAATTAATTAACTAGGAGTGCTTCGCTGGATCGCATAGTATAGATAGGATAGTTTGCGATCCAGCGAGCCGTTGCTAAGTGGTATTCAAGCACGTGACCAAGTTCTGCAAAGGTTCTCATGATTGCCCAGTGTTATGTCAAAACAACAGTCTCATAGCAAGAACGAGTATGCCTACCGAATGATTACATTTCCAAGTTACAAACATCTTTGAATTTTGTGCAGTATTCAAATGCTCCAAAATTGGTTTATCCTTTTATCTTCATTTTTTACCCAAGTGGTGGCCATTTTATAATTTAAACTAAATTTGGCTAATTTACGTGAGAAAGTTTCTGTAAAGGATAAAAATAGTTGCCAAGCAGCAGCATAACGAAGCTATCTCGTGGTTTGGTAGAAAAATTAGCGCCCTTTCCTCGTCCAATCCAACTCCCGTGCTTCGCAATGCAGCCTGCGAAAACATCCGTTTCTCCTCGCTCTTCGCCGCTGGGGACGTTTCGCGCGGAGGAACGTGGACGTTTCTCCGTGCGAAACGTCCCCAACGGCGAAGAGCGAGGAGAAACGGATATTTTCGCAGGCTATTGGCAATGTTTTAAATGCGTTTTAATGCTCACCCTTATAAACCCCTATGGATCGTTTTCACTCACGTAATCAGTAGCTATGCAAATTTTTTGAAACAACAGAAAGTTTTTAGATGAGAAAAGAGTTCAGTCCCGTACAGTAATTTTTTGGTACACCAACCATATCCCCATTCATTGTTTTTTACATCAATATGGCCACCGTGACGTCATGTGAAAACAATTTTTAACTCCGCCCCACTTCTGAATTTTCCTTAGCCTGTCGTTATTCTTTGCCATTTAACTGCGATTTTTTTAAAGAAACCATGGCATTAACTTAGCTCGAAGCAGATGAAGCAAAATGTAAGAAAGGACTGTCTCACCGGATTTCATCGAAGGTCCTTTTTCAGCTTGTGCAAAGCAAGCTGATGGGAAATTGGCCCTACTTGTGTCATTGCGCTTTCTTTTCTTCTAGTCGTCCTATTTTTTTTTATCTAAATAGCCCCTACAACCCTAATTATTCCTACATTACCTAGGCTAGTTGCATGGCAAAGTTGTACCGACATAAGTGAATGGGCAGATTTAATGCTGACCAATTATCTCTTTTCGTAGATAAGCCTGGACGCCAAAGTTCGAGCAGAGATCGACAATAACATGAACAATCCCACTGTCGACACTTTCAAAGTGGCACAGGATCATATATTCACCCTCATGTACCACGACTGTTTTCCTAGATTCATCAAATCTAAGCATTACAAACAACTTCTGAAGAGACACTGACCAAGAATCAATGCAACTCTCACCACGTCATCACCTACTTCTCTAGTTTGTTTTCATATACAATCCAGCGTTCCGTTTTACACTCCAGATGCATGCAGTCATGAAACCCATGCTGGTAGCCATACTTTTATCTTTCAACTCAAGTTACTGCGCTGTTATCGATAACACGTTGACAACACTCTACACCGTTCATCGTTTTTCAATGCGCAATTTATCATAGATCAAGACAGTCTCAGCAAGGTTTATCGGTCTAAGTAAAGTCACGAAAAGTCATATGAATTGGGAGTTTTGGACAACGATGACTTGATGTGCTCCATATGCAAGCATGTAGAGGTGGTGGCCTTGTGCCACAGCAATTCAGTCAGTTCAGAAACCCAAAGGCTTCGGTCAATTTTTTAATTCAACCAAAAAATTGTAGGAGCATCCGTTTCGAAAGTTAGATTTTTACGGAACTCAACCAAGAGATGTATTGCAACCTCCTTAACTTCTTACGTTTTCTGGAAAGGAGGCACCTTTTTGTGAAAGCTGCCAGATCCTAATTTAGTTTATTGTTAATTTTTTGTAGAGAATTTAAGCGGGTAGGATGTGAGAATCGGGGAAAATATCATTTTAAGTGAATGCGACGTTATTCGTCATCCCAAACTGCCTCTGACGTCAATCCCGGTCCATTCTGCCAAATTAAATCCCAGCCTCGTCCCCACGCCAGTTTACGTTATCCGAGTGAGCAGAGGAGGGAGGCTTGGAACAAAGCAGGAACTTTCCCGACTTGACAGGTGACGTCCTCTCTCGACATTAAATCCGGTTGTGACTAGAATGGATACCTCAAAATCAGATAGGACACCTTGTGTTTATTACGCAACGGTATACTATATTTAGGCGAATTTATTGGCCACGAGAACTTTTAGAAAAGTGGGGAAATCAGAGTAAGAGAGAGTTGTGCAGGGAAAAGAGTTCAATACAGGGTTTAGCACCGAAGTACAGTGATTAGGGTTAAGCACAGTTTTAAAAACGGTTAGCTTTCAATAATGTAATGATCAACGCCATGTAAAGTACGTTAAAATTAACCGGTGTCGGCAGTTAGCCCTTGATGGTGTAGTGGATACGGATATGGATTATACATCAAATGACACGGGTTTAAGTTCTACATACTACCTACTGTTTTCTTCTGTTTTCTTTCTTCTCTTATTTACTACTTTAAGATGTAAGAATCTTATCATGTATTTTGAGTGAAGACGACAATCTGACTTTGAGGTATCCATTCAAGTCACAACCCATCCAAATAGCCTAGGACGATTGGGAACGAGGCTGCCAAATTCCTATATTTTGAGATGCAATTTTTCTCGGCTCATTCATGATCCAAACCGAATGTGCACAATCAGATTCAAACTGAAAATGAATATGTTTGTCGTTTATACATAATTGTGTAACATAAATTTTACTGACGAAAGTGACTTATTTAAAGGCAAACTGAAAAAGGGTAACTCGGAAAATAAAAAGTTTAATTGTTAAGTAAATCACATTCAATTCGCCAACGGCGCGCAAGCGGGCTCAAAAAACGCTTGTCTTTGGCAAAAATCGTGCTTAATTTGTACAGAACGATCAGCAAAAATTGGTTGGCAAGCCCAACAAGCAGCAAATGTGTCAGTTATTTATGAAGATTAATTAAAGATTAATTAAAATTAAATACTCAGTCGAAGATAATATAAATTACTCACTTGTACATAACAGAACTGCTGTCGTTATGAAAAAATTGGCTTATTTTAAGCCAGGATCTACGAAATGTTCAGCGTACTAAAAATAATACTGTAATTAGTTCTGAGTTTTATCACTGATTTATTGTTCAGCTTCACGTTTCATTTTTTCAGCCTTTAATTTTTGAAAACCTCTCTCCAAAGTATAAATTTAGAATCACAATTACGTTTGTAAGTAAATTTGTAAATATTAACCAGCTGAAAATTTGATAATAGAAATTAATATCTTGTAAAAGTGTAGATATAAAATACTGAAGGCCGTATTTAATATTCAAGAATTGGAAAGTCTTGGGACTGTTTCCTAGTGGGGTATATAGATTAAAGATCTAGTGAAACAAATCTGGTTGTGAAACGTTTTCTTTTCTTTTTTTCGATTTTTTCTACACCACGTTCTGTTTCACACACAAGATCACAGAAATTTAAATTATGTATCCGAAATTTAGACCCGTGAATAATTTTGCAAAACCTATTTTTTCGTCTTCAAAACACTCTCATTTGCCTTTAAAAATGTTCGCCCTATTGCGCGGCCAAATTGACAAGTTTGACACAGAATGATTTGCAAGAAGGTCGTGGCAAATACGAAGGATTGTCGTTGTCGAAAACTCCCCAGTCATCTTGAGAATCTTCATTTACTTTGTTATACCTTCGTTACAGTCTGTTACATCGCTTAATTCCACAAAACACAAAGCAATGACTAGAAAAAGCGAAAAGCTGAGTTAACTAACTGACGTCATCAAGATTTCTTTGATTCTTTACTCTTCCCCTGTCTTTGGGACATTTCTTGGAAGGAAAGCAGTTTTTGGATTGCTGAAATTCAAGAAATTTTTGGGAGACACGTTTAAAGTTCACCGACAATTTTTAATTAAACTTATCTAAGGGCCAAAATCAGTTTGAAAAAATTTCGTGCCATATACATGCACTTTAAAGCATAACGTCGTTCTCCGAAGAGGAATTTCAGTGCTAGTCTTAAATGCTCCGGCTGTTACTCAAACCTCTCATGTACTGCACTGCCCCGTTTGCTTGCATCCTTAAATGCCCAATTTCACTGCAACCCTTCCAGAAATCCTGATTTAACGTTTACCAAGCAAATAAATGGGTCCGTTTTGTAAACGCCCACCCTAGCATTTCAGCCACATTTGAAATAACAGTTGATTAATGAAGTTTATTCGATACGACATGCACGTTAACGTGATGTGACTAGTCTCAAGTGGAGGTATCGTGACCGAGTGATTTTAGCGCTGGACTTGTAATTCGGATGCCTCAGTGTTCAATTCCCGCCCTGACCGCTGGCTGGATTTGTTCACTCTAGTCCCGAGTTCAAATCTTAAACCACGCTGGTAAATAGCCAGCTGGTTTGCCTCCGGTCAGTTGGGATTCTTAGCCATGTTAAGTTTGATTTAGAATATTTGTTTCAGTTATTTGTCTCCCATGTAAGGAAATCCAAGACAGTCTTGGTTTCTGGATTCCACGCCCTCTATCCCGGATTACGATTACTGGATTCCAGCGTCAATCAGTCTAACTTGAATTCTGGATTCCAATCTTTAGTGGGATTTGGGATTCCTTGAGCTGTATTCCGGATTCCACAGGCAAATTTTTCCCGAATTCTGGAACATGGAGCGACATTTGCTCTGCCCCAGTGGCATTAGTGCTATAAATACTGCCGAGTGTAAATAACGCAATTATTTATAAGTTAAACCTCTTCCTGAGGTTGGGCTTGAGCATGTTCTCTTAACTTGAGAATAAGGTCGGTGTTGCGTCCAGTTGCATCATGGGACTGTTTTGGTGAAGGATTTCCCGGCTTTCATTTTCCTGGGCTATACCAAAGCTCGAACTAGCCAACAAAAGATGCGATAGTGTTTCCATAACAGTGGCATTGTGCAATTCGACACAACCCTGAGTTAGTCTCAAAACCGCAAAATGATAAAAAACAAGACGCTATCGCAGCGTACACTTGGGTTCGTTGTATCACGCGTATGATTTTTGTGTGTCAAACTCTCTTCTAAAGCCAAACCCGTCAATTCCAATTACTTTTACGAGATTTATCTCTAAATATTGGAAGAAATCTCTCCATTTCTAGGTAAAAATACAAGCTTCCTCCAAATTGAAAAGTATCTCTGTGTTGCTATAAAATGTTGAAAATACTTCGCTATACCCGTTTCGTCTAATGTTTAACACCGTTCCACAGTCCTGTTCGCTTTCATGACCCACACTTACCCGATCTCATCTCGAAGTAATTTCTCCGGGAAATAGCCCAAACAAGCCGAAAAGTCACGGACTGCGTGCCCAATATCTTGTGCCGAAAAAAGCAACTTTCACGCCATTCCTCATGGAGCGTGGCGAATCCTTTACTTGGCGCTCCACCAAGGTCAAAATTTCTCTTTCTTTCCTTCAAGCGGAAAGGGCAATGAGACTTTCGCGCGGAAATAACTCTGTTCTTACGGTAAACTTTTGCCCGTAAGGGTTTCGACCTTAAATTAGCTGTGCCCAACCTGCCTGGTTCTGCGAGGATGGGCATTTTCTGCATCTTCGTCCACTCGTGGGGCTGGCTCATAGGATGGCACTGGAAATTGCTTAAACGGGCATCGTGGGGGGTACAAGCACGGGAAAATGAAAAATGGGAACAAAACCTAACTGGAACCCTAGCCCTATTAGTAGATTCATTCCCAACTCTCTTCTTTGTTCTCCTTTTTCATTTCCCCTTTCCCCGCTCCACGTTTTAGTAACATATCATCGTAGCTCTGGGGACGAGAATAAGAGTATGGCAAAGGAACATGACATTGATCTTTACCCTGTCTTCTCTCATCTTAATCTAAACCGACATTAGGCATGGGATGTATTTGTTTAGTCGATGAGTGTAGGGTAGTGTGGTTGTGATCTTCAGAGAAAAAGGTTATGCTAAATTTTAGTCTACAGAGCAGATACTTTGCGTCCTCCCTGAGGACAGGCTCGATTTTCGCTGCTCTCTCGGCTCCGACCGGTCTTTTCGGGCTTGTTTCCCGAACAACGGCTGGTAACCGAGCCTACCCTGAGGAACAATAATTTGGAATCTTGAACCTGATAGCATTCAGTATCGAGTCAATGTATGCCTACAAATACTAATGAGATTCCTGAGCGAAAGAACCGAGAACAAAGTCATCATGCGCCCCTCTGTTACAGCGCAAAGAAGAGCTGGGGTGTTTACCTTCGTTGTAACATCAACTATCCAACATTTCCGAGTGGTATTCATGAAACGGCCGTTTCGCCCGCTAGCAGTTCGCCCAGAGTTGAGCCAATTCGCCCGAAGTGTATTTGTCTTCCTTTAAGCCTGAAAAGCTAGGGACTTCACGTGTGGAATCCACGCTTAACTAAAATAACAGCCCTGATGACTATGTTCACCGTCTTATGGAGTGCTATCGGGCAGTTGGGGAGCGAAAGCAACAACGACGGCAACGGGCTACGAAAACGTCTCTTAAAAAGTGAATGCTGGCTGATATAAACTTTATGACAAATCAAAATTAATTTTATGTTGGCAAATGTTTTTGGAGTTGAATTCTAAAGGACTGTATCAAAGTTCAGGAAAAGAAAAAGAAAGTTGTTGTTTTCCGTTCCCGTCCTCGACAAAACGTGAAATTAGGCATTTCACATCTTAGTCGTTCAGTGACGGCAAAGAAATGTAAAAAGAGCATGATGCACGTGCAAAGTTGTTTTGACTAATCTAATCCTATTGCTTTTTTGCCGTTCTCGTTGCTTAAGCTCCTTTGTGACTTTAGTGCGGAAGAAACGCGATGGGGCGAAACGACCGCAAATCCCGGGAAAATTTTAAATGGGAATACCCTCCCTGGTACAGACCTACTGGGGCCTCTACGGCTATGAATCGATATGTTCACATGCGCCTGCTGAATCTGTTCACACACAAGAATGGTAACTTGGGCGCGATTTCTGTGACGGAGAAGTGGAGCGTCACATATCGGACACGTTTTGTGTGAACACCTATTCGGGCCAAAGCGCAAGTTGTTATTTAGGAGCGAGGACTTGAACCCACTGAGGCGAAAGTAAATACTCGGGAATGAGGACTGGAATTTAGTGCACCAAACCTTCTAGGCCAACCGCGCCGGTACGATGTTTGATGTGTGTGAACGACTTGTGCCTTGGGCATAAGCGTCACTTTCCGATTGGCTATTTGCAGTTTCTTTTGCATCTCTCAATTTATTGCCATCTAGTGTATATGAACATTTGGGACAAAAACGTCACTGAGATTGCCAACTTTAATTAGGGCAACGAGAAGGAGGATTAATTTTGCAGATGCCGTCAAATCAGAATACGCACTCGTAAAAACTGCCTATTTTAGAAAAAGAGTATACAGCAAAAACAATCCATTATCGTTTTATTTTTGATCTACAGGGAGATATTTATATATTTTGATTCATAAATCACACCTTTTATACCTTAAAGAACTACACACAAGACAGACACTAGTAACCAAGTTAGTATACTTGAGCGTCAATTCACACAGGTTTGTTGAAAGCTTCTCGAGCACCTTTTTTACAATCCAAAATAAATACACCTACACAAAGAGAGGTTACAGACAGAAAAGCTACTGGAAGCCATGTATTTATTTACTAATCACTGTTGGAAAGGGTACTTACAGGTAATATTCACACGCTGACGGTAAATTGGTAAAACGGTTTACGGATTAAAGTGTGTGAATTTTCCCATTTGACGTTCCTAAGAAAAGGACTATGTCAGCAAGTAAGTGCGAGTGTATGTCTTGGAAGTCTAGATGGTGTTTTTATATAGGTTTAATTATATCAACAATTTTCAGAGTTTTGTTTATCCACATTTCTCTGGCTGCCTGTATATGTTGAAGTGTAAACCACAAGATGCTTTCTTAAGGTAAAGACGACTTTAGCCAAAATCGGGACGAACTGTTAACAGAACTAAAAAAAAAAGATATCAAAATTAATTTGTAACTCAATTTCCATCTGATCATGCGAATGTAATAACTTTGTGTGAGTAACAAGAAACTAAAATAAGAATCACTTTTGCTTCTGGCATGGCCCGGAAGGGAGAGGGAAAAACATGACTTGTTTTAAAATGCTGGTTTTGCAACCAGTCAAATTTGACCTATGGCATTTTTTTCAGAATTTCAATTCTTGAGTAGATATAAAGATATATGCGTTATCAACCAAGCGTGAGGTCAAGATGGCTGGATATTGGCCAAGTTCATTTTACTTTTAATCATAACTATAACAAAATTCTCGAATCTGATTGCCTATCAACCGTCCTGATTTCAGCACTAATGGGTCAGTGTAATAGGACAGTGCACGCCACCGCACGCGTGCTCTTAAATGGTCTTTTTTTCACTGATAGAAAAAAACCTCTCGGCAGTTCTTGTGTTTAATTAGAAAAAAGCCTAAAATATAACAAATTTTGTTATAGTAATGGTTAATCGGTAACAGAACTTCGTGTCGTCCAATTCGGTCTGTAATCATACTCGTGATTAAACAAATCGGACTCCCGTTACGCATTCGTCCGATTTTGTTCATCACTCGTATGATTACAGACCGAATTAGACTCCACTCAGTCCTATTACCATTCTTTAAGGACCGAGACGAAGTCAAGGTATCGAACAAGTTTTGCGGGACCAACGCGGGAAATCCCGAGCAAGATGGACCCGCGTTGCCGCCGGGCAGCAAATTCGCTTTACCTTGCCCGCTCGCGGATTCAGCCGTATGATAAAATAAACTTTAGTGCCTTGCAGTTTAATGTATAACAACAAATCAGAAAATGAAAAAAATTCAAGCATCGAGAAGATTACTTCACCTTGTGACGTCATGGTTAGTTCATATTGTACTTTAAAAGTTAAGGACAAGATCACCATGATACTCCGTCGTAACAATAACTCCCCTGTTCTGAACAATTTGCTATTGGTAAATGTTATTAAATGAACATACCTTCCACCGATTTCCACAATCTAAGCAAAGCACGAAGGTGGTCATAGGTTCATCTGCGCTGCGTGTCTGTAGCTGGGTATAAGTAGTTTTCCGCTTGCCACATTTCCCACATTTGAACAGGTTTGTCTCAGTGCCTTGATTCTTTGCCACCTGAGCTTCACGAATACCTTCCTTTGCAATTTCCTGCCGTAACTGTTTCATCTCGTCACTTGCCATTTCCTGACATAAAAAAGAACCAGCCTCAGTGTCTGTTACACGTTTAAGAAATGTCTTCACACATTCCCTTGCACAAAAAGGGAAAAATGAAGACAAGAAAAAAGACACCAGCAGCAAAACACAGACACTTCAGTAGCCTGCAGAACAGGTGCTGTTTTTCGCGTTTTTCGGGAGACGAACTATGAAGCGGACGTAGAGAGGGCCTTCCCTCGTCGCGCGTGTATCGCGCTTCTTGCTCGTTTCGCGCTTGCCTTGGCTCGCCTGAAAAACGCAAAAACTAACGCCTGTTCAGCAGGCTAAAACTTCTGAGGTGATTGAAGCTTCACATTCTATTTATCCCTAAACCCTTACAGTATGCATAAACGTATAAATGTATTAACAAGAAGAAATTGTTTTAAAAGCAAGACATTTTACCTTCGGCTATTATCTCATTTCTTATGAGTGTTGTGCATGCTTAAAAAGTAATATTATAAAAAAAGAATAACTTTGGAGTGTATTAGCACTTTTTTGCTTTTTCAAATTCAAAGCAAAACAAAGTCTTTGGTCGACTAATTGAAGATTAGTGCAAATTTCCTGCTACCGCTCTTTTCTCCAAGGGTATTTCAGCTGGAGGCAGATCAATGATGAGTTTACCGATACATGTACGATACACAAAGAGCACAGGAGTAATTAATCTTTCCGCACATAATTATAGGAGTGGTTCCAAAATGCTACCACTCCCAGTTAATTGAAGGTGCTTTAGGCAGGGTTCTCCGAGAGCTCTAACGACTGTCAAAACTTGCTGTCTAGTAGTCATCATGGAAACACAGTCTCATCACATAAAATAACTTTTTAAGTTACACAATAAATCAGTTTTCTCTTTCTCAACATTTTTGTTCAATAAAAACAAACCTGTGACATAAACTAAAGCCAGATGGCGGAAATAAAGGTGTTATTCTTCCTGCTAAAAATCTATTGGCTGCGTACTGAAATGTACTCTTCATGGTTCCCAAAAATAGATTTGCTGCAGGAGCCTCCCAGAGGGCAAACGCCTCACATACCTACCGTGTATCTCTGCATGATACAATTACATAATCTAAATGCTCGTTCTACTTTAAATTTTTGAAGCACCTGCTTTTCCAGCTAAGCCAAGTTAAACCATGCAAAGGTTCACAGATCTACTGTGCACATGTTCGATACTAGGAAGTAAAACTTTCTGTACAAATAACGTTCTGGAACCTATTAAGCTTCCGTGTTTTGCGATGAAACGTAGATGACAAAATCATAGCTTTGTGACAAACAGATTTCACGTCTCTGGACAAACAGTGGAGGTAAAATTTAAAGCACTGGTAGGCTGAAAACTTAAATTCAATATATTTTGCCAATATTACAACCCATTTTAATTTTACTGTCTATATTTCTCAAAACTACACGGAATTTACGTAGGTTCCGTATGACTGGCACATATCAGAGCAGAGGCATAGAAAAAACATACTGTTTGTAACCTATAGTTTCTATATACTGATAACATAGCCTTGAAATAGCTTCATGACATAGCATTTAAATTTTACATAGAGTCTGATTCTACATCTAAGAGGGTCCTTTAAATTTCAAGACTGTGCTCTAAGGAAAACTGAAGGGAGCCCAGTGCTCTTAACCTGGAAAATCCAGGGTGCCCAGCATATGATTTGTATGAATAAACTAAGATTCGCCCAAGAGCAAAAGTTAGGTGTCAGGGGCCACCAGGCTCTGCTAGAGCACAGCCTTGAATTTCCTTAGAAAATGTTAGACTGTACACCAAAAGCTTTCTGGCTGTGGATATTTAAGAAAACACACTGTATTTTCCACCATACTTGCCCTAACTTTAAAATAGGAGTCATGACCATGAAATCTTCTATGCAGTTACTTGAATGCTTCGCATCATTTGGCAGAAAGTTCACAGTGGCTGAATTTGCCTAAATTTCATGGACAACTCCTTTAATTCATACTGTGCTATATTTTCATGACCTACCTCTGTGGGCATTGTGGCAAACTTCTCAGGAGTAATCTGGCCGGATAGAACTTTCACTTTAAGAAGTGGATTCTTGGCATCGCGAAGGTTGCTAACACGACTTCTGACCCGCTGTTTGTACTTGGCATTTGTGTCTTTGAACTCCTGGAAAATACCTTAAAAGGTGTCAAGGTAGAAAATACAAACTTTAACAGTGTTCTCAACAGACTGCGGCCTTGCAGGATTCCCGCAAGAAAATCTGAGATGATGGATGAAAAGCCAAGAAGATGCACCCATTAGGGCGCAGGGGGCATGCTATGAGTCAAACTGACTTTAAAGGGGCTATGTCACACAACACGCATGCGCGAGCCAATGAAAACAAACTTGAAAAAGACAGCCCAACTTTTTCAAGTTATGTCGGGGGCATGCTCAGCCATCGCTGAATAAACTGAATCGTTCTATGGTGATTACAGAACAATTTTTTGGCGTTATTTTAAAATTGTTTGCCTGTGGAATGTTTTTACGTGGATTTACTGTGTTCTCTTATCAGCGGCCGTTGTAATGGCAGAGTTAATGACGGCTACTCCACAATGAGTGATGGAATCTTTGATGGAATCTTCGCTATAGTTCAGAGGACCTTTCTATTGAGTTATTTTAGAGGCTGCTGGCTCTTGGATTTTTCTTGTACTCAAAGTATGTGGACATATAATGAAGCGGCTATCGAGTTGGCGGCGGCCGTTTTTTGTAAACGATTACAAGAGCATCAGGCCATGAGTTTCGTGACGAAACTAAACTGCTGGCGAAGGAAACATTCTAAAATTCGGCTAGATTCCTTCTTGTATTTATCTCGATTCACGGCAAAGATAAACACGACCGTTTGCTCGTCCAGATTGTTCTCAACGGACTTAGAGAGGCACCTTAGTACGAGTTAGATCCTGTAAATGCCATGTTTTTGAACTGTTTGTGTTCGAGCATAATTTTGGAAAATAGCAGAGTTTACTTTCCCTTTTTATCAACGGACTGCTTATAGTGGAGTAGTATACCAATGATACTGGGTTCTGTTTTTCTCGACGTCGCAGTGATTCGGCACGATCGAACAATTTTGCGCGATAATGTATGTTTCCCTAAGATCAAAACAAAGACTTGGTCTCTTGTTCTATCAGCATCTAAATTATAAAATCAATAGCGACAGGCAAGTCTAATTGTTAATGATTTGAAACAGTCTTGGTCTTTATCTTCGGTCTAGCGTCTTTTGTAGCTCGTTTGTAAAATACAACTTCCATTTATTTTGTTGAATAAGACAATATGTTGTTGTTGAATTTTTGTTTGCGCTCTATTTTATGAATGGCATGCGTTTTTTACTTCAAAACTACAAGTAAAATTGTCGTCACAGTTTTATTCTTGATCTAGCATAACCAGAGAAGAAACGTTCCATAAATTCTTCACGCGTAAAAAAAAAAATAGTTTTAATGGTCATTTGCATAACCTCAGTGGTATGGAGAAAGTTTTGTTTGATAGAATGAATAAAAAACATGATATCAAAAGATTCAACGTCTTTAATTCTAATTTCGAACGTGGTAGCATTTTCATTAGAATGAATAAAAACATGATATCATTGATTGAAGATTTAATTCATGCATTGTAATCATGCATTGTAATCAAATCGTGAACACCCCATCAGCCATAATCAGGTAGGTAATTCACATAACAGATCATTTGGAGTGTGGGCTCAGTTATCCCAGTAAAATTTTGTGCGTGTGCCTGAGGAAAAGTTAATGGTATCTGGTTAAAATGACTAAAATTTCTGTAGGTCCCAAACAGTTTGTAGAAAGAAGGATACATTCTTCACATGCTGCAGCAAAGTCTTCTGGAGTCATGACTGTAAAATAAAAACAAGAAAACACTTTTTCAAGTAAGAATGCAGCAAACTATCAAAATTTGCATCACACACTCTGTTACCAGTATGCAAAAATTAATTAGTAGCAGATTTATTTTAATCCCTAGCAGTTTAATGCTTGAATCAAGGGTTTAACTCAACACAATGTAACTGAAATAACCACTGGCACCCAGTTAGCTCAATTGGATAAGCGCCAGTGTGCCGAATGGGAGGCTGCTTGTTCAAACCCGGGCCGTACCAACACTCATGGTCTTTAAATGACTGAGGAGAAAGTGCTGCTTTCGTCAAGACATCTGTAAATGGCGAGAATTTCTAGTGTTCTCACAAATCTTGCACGTATAAATTCTGTGGGATATTAAGGAACCCACGCACTGTTTGTAAGGAGTAGGGGACATACATGTAGTTCCTGGTGGGGTGGTCTATATCTCATGGGGGAAAGGACTGTTATGAGCCTTCAGTAACTGGCACCATGCACTGCTGTGGTGACCCTGCCAAGAACTGGCAAACTTACATGTAAGTACCTAAATAAAATTTAAAAAATAATCTGGCCCATTGAACAAATTAGCATACAAAATCACCTACCCTGATCAAATTCAACTTCCACCTTAAGAGAATTGACAATCATTTCTCTGCACTTCCCACGTACAGAGTCACCAGTGACCTTTGGAGGTGGAAAAGTGACTGCTTTGTTGTCTTGAGGAGTACTGGGTGCAGAGGAGGATGACTTGGTACTCTGTGCAGGTGAACTGCTTCGACTGGATTTTTCACTGACTGGTGTCTTAGATCTGTCTCCATTTTCCTCAGTTTTACCTCCGGATTTTTCTGAAAAATTATTTAAAACAGTTAGAGCCACTCAAAGTAGACTTATTGCCACCTGGTTAACCCAATAATTGGATAATAAGTGCCATTTTGCCGGTCAAACCCTGGCCAAACTAACACTCAGGGTCTAACTCAGGACAAAGTGCAGCAGGTCCCTTTCTCAGGCAATAATTACAGTCAAACCACCCAAATGTGGAGATTTAGTCACTTATTTACCAGCTTTTCTGGAAACACGCCTGCCCAGAGGGAATGTGCACGAACGGGACTCAGGTCCAATGCGAGGCGCCATCCCTACCCAATTCCACAACCAGTAAAGGTTGGCCACGCTGCCGGGGTCTACAACCCCTACTCTTTTCGAATAGTGATGTGGGTTCTTTTACGTCTCACAAGAACAAATCGGTGAAAGTGCTGTGAGATGGGACCTACCGTTTTTTGTCCTTATCTGAGAAGACTAGAAAGTCTAACCATTTTCAGACGTCATTACAAAGGTAGCACTTTCTTCTCAGTTATTTAACCCATTCGCCCCTGAACCGCCCGTGCCGATCCAGGTCCTTTCTACCCTTTGTGACGTCATCAGTTTTAACGGTCAAGGACAAATTTCTTCGCTAACTTGTGCAGAGTGAAGAGATCTTTCAAACCATACCAGAATGAGCACAATTCAGTCAAGGACACCGGAGAAAGAAGCAAAAAACCACGTGACAAGGACCTGAAAATCTCCATGAAAATCTTGTTCCATTACCCACCTACCTTTCCTTTCACCTAATCCTAAGATCCTAAAAGCTTTCCTAAAAACTCTTCCCACCAAAATGAAGCCTACTAAATGCCCAGCAAGAGAAAAAAAAATGAGGCAAGAAAAGTGAAAAAAGAAGAGAGGACAGAAAGCGAAAAGCAAAAGTCAAGACTGCTGTGTCACTTTTAAACCCAAAAACTATGTCGAAATTTTGCTTTCTGCGCATGCCCAAACTTCGCAAGCTGATATTTTGCATCTGGATCAGAAGGCCGCCAAGTGTATGACCCGTAAACCGGTTTGTGGTAAGTTTTAGCTCTTTATAGCACGACAGTGACCAGAAAACCACTCGACTAGCTTCAAAACGCGTTTTTCGGCAAAATCTCCAGGAGCGAATGGGTTAAAGACCATGAGTGTTGGTCCGGCCGGGGCTTTGAACCCATGACCTCCCGCTTGGCAGACCGGTGCTCTCCCAACTGAGCTACAGGAGGTGGTTGCTTACAAGAATCGAACCACAGGAGACATACTTTATGACACCTATGTTTTGGCAGATAATCAGTTGCATGCAATTTCTAAGTTACACATGCATGTAGTTCCATGCTGTCACTGAAACTTCTTCGAATACTCTGAGTAGTGTAGTACTTGTACAGTGAACAAAGGGACCACACATTGTGTCACATGGTTAGAGGTTAAAGGTTAAGAACAGTGGAACATCAGGTCAAAAACAGTTGCTTATGAGAGGTGGTCATTTATGAAAGGTTCTATTATTATGGGGCTTCGACAGGGGAAATTTTAGTTTTTGGATGGGTGGTCGCTTATGGGAGGTGGTTGTTTCTAAGAGGTGGTCGCATATGGAAGTTCGACTGTATTAGTTTTGATTAGCAGCTACAAAATTTTCCTAGAAAATGTAAGTGTTCGTAGATATTCTAGATTCATGATACTAACTAATACAATTCTTCAAGCTTGTTTGCCCTTAAAATTAATTTACTCCACGAAATGATGGTCCCACAATTACACCTTGTTATGACCATTTTAAGAAGTTGCCCTGATGGGAATAGGTTTAAGTACAAAGGACTCAAAACTAACATACTAAGCTCCACTCTCTGTGTATTTTATCACCTGGTAGAAGTTTCTTCCATGATTTAATGAGTGCTTTAGCCTGTGTTTGCAGATCTGAGTTTTCACTCTTTTTTCTCAGAGTGTTAACAGACATTCCTATTCTCGTCTTCTGAAGGACTTCTAACGTGATTGGAAGATCTTTGAGCCTTTTTAAAAGATCCACTGCACCGTCAGAATCCATCTGAAGAAATGTACAAAAAAATGTTAAAAAATGTTTGAAAATATTTTAGAATGGATGTTCCATTGTTTTGCTGATAAATTAGCTTTTACCAGCACCTGTATCTCGAAGCTAATAAAAAAAAAAAGATAGGCATTCTCAGAGCTGCTGTATGTTTTTCCGTTAAAAATTTGAGCGCAAAGCACAAATTTGTTTTCATTCTTGAAACAGTAACAGTTCTATCTTAATATGGACAGGTTTGGTGTTTTCTTGGTCAAAAAAATTTTGTACTTTACAGGGGTTTCAATAAGTTTTTGCACAAGTGGGTACTTAAGAGTAACAGGGGGGTATATTTGCCGAAGGCCCAAAGGGCCTTCGACCCTACGGGGGTCCGGGGGCATGCTCCCCCGGTAAAATTTTGAAGTTCTAGACTCTCGCAGATGCATTTTCAGGTCTATTTTTGTTGCTTCGTTGTTTCATTTTTTTGCTCCTAAGTCAACGAAAAACGAAGCATAATATTAACATTTGAAGGATATAAACACAGAAGGTTTTCCTTTCAATATCCTCAACTAACCTTGGGAGGAATCAGTCTCGTTTGACTCCTTTTATTTTCACACTGGCGTGAACTATGCAAACAGCGATTGCCTTCTGGCCACTATTAGTATTCACATTCTGTCCCAGTTCCCCTCGATTTCAGCTACGATGCCTTGCACATTTTTTTTGACGTAGCTTCGGAAGCGATTTTTATCACAAGTTTTGCAGACTTTGCTTCAACTTTCATGGGCCAGAAGGCTTAGAAGATGCCAGAATGTCTTTTCTTTTTCATTTTCTTTTGTTTTCCTATACATAAAACCTATTTTGCCCAATTGTTTAGCAAGAATTCAAAGCTGAGATGAAATTATCTGGTCTTTAATTACTTGACGTTCGTGTGAAGGCTCCAAGCGGGTAATCGGCCCGTTGCAAGCAGGTAGATCTACCCGTTACCCGGGTACTATTGAAACCCCTGATTTTATTTGTTTTGGAAGAACTTCTGACCGGTTGACAGTTTTTTGTTTGTTTAAAGATGAACAATTTCCTGTCTTTGGTAGACATTGACTTTTCATTTATTTACAAATTAGGGGGACCATTTTAATAAAAATTCAACTGAAAGTCTCTTTATTAATAAGATCCTAGTGGAAGTCCAATTTGTTTAATCAGGAGTCCATGTATGATTACAGACTGAATTGAACGACACAAAGCTATGTTACCATTAAAACATAACTAATGATAATTATTTTAAGCTTTTTTTAAAATTTAAACACAAGATATTTGGGGAATTTTATGTTGGAGGTGAAAAATAAACCCTTTTGAGCGTGCGCCAGTGGCATGTACTATCCACTTAGGCATGATGTATCCTGTCTTATTACACTGTCATTTTAATGCTGAAATCAGAGCAAGTACTAGCTAATCACATTAGAGAATTTTGTTATAATTATGAGTACAATGAAAATACACTCAGCTGCACCAGCTAGTTGACAGGTTTTAAACTTCGACAGGTCAAAATAGGATTAAACCCATCAACAATAGATGGGTGTGGGGAAGGTGCCTGGTGAAACAGAAGGGGGCTGCAAGCGAGCCTAGAAGGTAACCATGACAACCCTGTGAGCAGCACCCACCTCGCACCATCACACTGTCGTTTTAATGCTGAAATCAGAGCAACTACTAGCCAATCACATTAGAGAATTTTGTTATAATTATGGGTACAATGAAAATACACTCAGTTGCACCAGCTAGTTGACAGGTTTTATACTTCGACAGGACAAAACAGGATTAAACCCATCAACAATAGATGGGTGTGGGGAAGGTGCCTGGTGAAACAGAAGGGGGCTGCAAGCGAGCCTACAAGGTAACCATGACAACCCTGTGAGCAGCACCCACCTCGCACCATCACACTGTCGTATTAATGCTAAAATCAGAGCAACTACTAGCCAATCACATTAGAGAATTTTGTTATAATTATGAGTACAATGAAAATACACTCAGTTGCACCAGCTAGTTTACAGGTTTTATACTTCGACAGGACAAAACAGGATTAAACCCACCAACAACAGATGGGTGTGGGGAAGGTGCCTTGTGAAACAGAAGGGGGCTGCAAGCGAGCCTATAAGGTAACCGTGACAACCCTGTGAGCAGCACCCACCTTGCACCGTCACACTGAAAACCTCAGTGGAAAAGGTGCAGATACTTACCAAGAAAAGCATCCAGAAAGGAGGGAGGGTTGAGGGCAAACAAAAAACTAGAACTACTGCAAGCAAAAGCAACATGAGTAAAATGATTGACTGACCCTGGTTGGTCGAGGATTTAAGGAATAAGAAACAAATCCAGATAGTGGCCACAGCATGCATAAACTGGGAACTCCTGGATTGCAAGTCTGATGCTTTGACTAACGGGAAAGTAACAGTATTCATCCAGAGTACATGTACTGTGTGTTAGCAGACTTTACTTCCAAATCTTCCAAGTCAAATACTTTTATGAAAAGCTCCAGTTGAATAATTGTACGAAAAAAAATTGTACACGTACAGTGGAACCTCAACATAACGAACCTCTATATAACAAAGTCCTTGGTATAACGAACAACATCCTTGCCCCAGTAATAGTAAAATATATGAAAAGGAATTCCCTTGGCCCTTGGTTATATCGAGGTTCCATTTCATATCTCTCTGTGCAAAAAACATCCCCTTCATAATTATCGAATGTGCACGTACGTGCTGGTGGTTTCTTTTGTGACCCTAACGTCCTGCAAAACGATGTGTTTCTTTCACTAAACAATCATCTACTTATATACAATCTTGAGTACACGAGGGTAGATCTAAAACTAAATCGTGTAAAGCTAACGTCGAACCAGACCTTTTCTTATAAGATTTTAAAAGTTTTAAGTTATAGCAAGCTAGCGAAACAGAAAATACTCATTAACATTGTCAAGATGCAGGTACACATTGAACATGTTGATGTGCTAAAGAAATTCTTGACATTACAAATAAAAACAATCTAAAGCGATCAGTTCAGAATTTTTAAAACTTACATTTTGAACTTTAGCCAGATACTACAGTGTTTAACAAACATGAAACGCTATCTTTTTTCTCTTTGAATATGAAACAAGGTTTTTTTAACATCTGCATCTTTAGAAACTTAAAAATTAATCAAGCATTAAATTCAGTCGGTATAACTACATCAGAAGTTTCCAAACAGCAAACGCTTTGCGTTAATTTCACTTTACAGTAAACAGCAGGATTGAAATCTTCTTTCTCGTGAATGGGTTCTTAGAATCGCGTGGTACGACAGGCCGGTAAAATATCAACAAACATCACTGACTCACCGTTCCTTCTTCGCCAACGATCTTTTCCAGCTGCTTACCAATCTTAAATACCTCCTCTTCGAGACTCATTTTGCTTTGAATTCGCAGCAACACTGCTAAAACAGCAAAGGAGCTAAACACAACTTTGTAAGATCACATTGCACGATGCTGTTCGCGCCACATCATGGCCGACAGGAAAGTGCCGATTATGAGAGCCCACGACCTAGTCAGCGGATAGCTTCGTGACCGTCTTATTTTCCTATTTTTTTTCTTCCATTTTTTTTAAAAAATACCTGATGACTCCACCCCTAAGAAGGAAAGAAAGAAAAAAGAGAGAAAAAATACTATCTTGGCTTATATCAAAGAAAAAAAAAACAAAGCTAGAAGGTGAAGTGTGGGCATAAAGAGAGAAGCAGGTATTTTATATCTTGTCAAGAGCCTAGGCTGTTTCAGTTACCAGAAAGTACAAAGTATACTTTTACTAGCTCATAAATAATAGCGCAGTTATCAGTTTTGCCGTGAAAATACACTTATTTTCACAAGTGACATTCATCTTCGACTTTACAAGAAGGGAGATATTCAATAGCACGCGATGATGCTTAAAAGACTGAATTAAGACCCGGTCGCGAAGCGTTTTCAACGAACTTTGATAAGCTTATTATTTGGAGAAATATGCAAAGATAGTTGTATTTTATGTATCCTGGTCAATGTTTTCACTTAATGGTGAATGAATCCTTGAAAAAGAAAAAAAAATCCTTGGACAGTTTAATCGCGGTGACGGGGTGCTCGCAGTCTGATCTGATCAGGCGCGCCCTAGACCCAGATATCTTCAGGGCCCCTGGTAATACGCTTAAATAATTTGAAATTGAGCTACACGTTATTGACATATTCTGCCCTGTAGCACATTTTACTAGGAGAAGATACAGCTAAAAGACAAAAAAGGCAAATAGGCTCCCAATATGGTAATCGCCTATTTTCGTCAGTTGTCAGATATCGAACAGGCTCCGGGCGTCTACAGTCCTACGTAAGATGCATTACTTTTCATGAAGCATTGATAAAAAGCTCTTGAAATTAAATATCGTCCTGTCCAACTTTTTTCCTACTTGAACAGAAGCAAAAAAAATTAACAATTAACAGTTAATTAGTTTGGTTACAATTGAGCTAACAAGACTCCATTCTTTTCGCTGATTAAGGTTCTCCTTCCTTTTGTACTCCCCGATGTGTTGCGTTAGTTTCCATTTGTGTTGTCAAGGGGACGTGGCTAATTAACACTCACAGCTTGTCTGGGATTGGTTGCATTAGATTGTTCTTTAGAGAGCGATTTGTTTGCATTTTAGAAGCGACTTCTGGCCTACACAAGCGTGTTGCTACATTTGTCTCGGTGATGTGTTTATACGCTTAGGCTGACCTCCATTTATAAGCAAGAATGGCCGAAGGTAATAATACCAAAGAATCGTTAAACGATGTCGATCAAGTCCCAGAAAATAATAATATTGGCCATTATGTTGACAAGGCAAATGTATCGCTGTCGGACGACCAGACTGCAAATGAGGAGCATTTAAAATTTGCCAACTCTGCAGACGGAATCGAAAAAAATACGAAGGAATTGGTTGATAAAGGGGGCGAAATTGGGGCGAATAATATTAAAAATGCTGAAGTTGCACACAGTAAAGAGAACGAAGAATCAGGCCTGACAGCTAAAATACCAGGTGATGGCAATGAAAACAATGGGAAGAGTATTGCAGAGAGTATTGGCCGTGATATAAAATCAGATAACGCCAGTTCAAACGAAGGATCAAGTGAATCCTCATCCCAGCCAAAGTCGATCAGTCCCCGGAAAGTAAAGAGAAGAGGAATTTTCGTGTCGTATGCCCCAGGAGCGAGTTTTATCGAGAAGCGCTTTATTTCCTATACGGTTAAGGAATTAAAAAATGTAGGATTTTGCGATGATATTTGGTTCGACAAAGATGAGGGAGAGCCAATCCAGAGTCCGTTCTGTTTTCAACAGAGACTAGAAGTTGCCGAAAAATGCCGAGCATCGATCATGTTTCTGTCTGAGTCGTACTTCAGTTCCAGAGTTTGTCGTCATGAGGGACAGATCTTGCTTAATCGGGACGAAGATCGAGAAAGTGCAGACGGAAAAGATGAACTTGAGAAGCCAGCAAAATTGTTTTGTATCAACTATAGTCGCGGGAAGCTTCCTAAAGAGTACAAGCAGATGGAGGAACGTGCCCTGGACTTGAGCTCCTATACTGCATCGAGTGTGGCTGAGCTTTCGTCCGTCGTTGTGGGAACTTTCAGTGAAGAACTCGAGAAATATGCTCCTTTGTTTGGTTTGCGCGTTCCCACGCCTCCTCGTGCACAAGACGGTTTAAAAGTTGATCGACAAAAACCTGTATCCTCGTGGAATATATCTGATGTTCTTGGTTGGTTGACCTCTCTGAAAATGCAAGCGTACTGCTCCCTGAGCTTTGAAGAGAACGAAATTGACGGCTTCTTGTTGGTTTCTATGAGTGAAACCGACATGGAAATCCATTTGAATGTTGACAGTCGCGTGGCACGTCGAAAGCTGTCGCAACAAGTAAAGAGAATCCAAGAAGATCAAGCACAGAGCAAAGACAACTGGTATCTAAAGTGTCAAAAAAGCAAAGCGAAGGAAGACTCCGTCTACGTTATTTGCGATCCAAATGATGTACGGTTTTATTACAACCTACGAGCGGATTTGCTCCAGAAAAACCTACAGGTATAATAGCTATTGCGGTCACGCTATTGTGTTTAAAATTAACAAATTATCATGTCAATTAGTTTTTGCATGTAAAAATAATCCTGGATGACCAATATCGCTACCTCAGCTCATTAGACTGATTGAATTATTATTTTCGGTCGATCGCTAAATTAAATTTATTTTAATTTGACTTGTTTGATGTACCATAATCCTCGGGCAAATATAGTTAAACCTCTATATCAAGCGGACACCTTCGGAACCTTCCCAAGTGTCCGAGGTTGTAAAAATTGCGCAATGTTTGTTAACGATCAACATTCAACGGTTACTCTGCACTGTGATAAAGTTACATGTTGTTAAAGAACAGAGAAGCTATCCAGAGTTCCAATTCATTACCTTTCATTACCAACTTTAATTTGTTTGTAACTGACTTCAGTATTTCAAGGACGTAATCCAATACTACTATTGTCAATTCAGTCCGATGTCCGCTTAGCAGAGGTTTTTAACAATAGAAATGAGCCAAATACAACTTACTTCGCGTCCACCTAATAGAGGTGTCCGCTGAACAGTAGTCTGCTACAAAGCCGTTTTTGGTGTCGTCACGCAACGCTTCTCCCCACTAACACACTGGGGAGGAGCGTTGTGTGACGACACTAAAAACGGATGTGTAGCAGACTAGCTGAATAGGGGTTCATTACAAAGGAAAATGTAAGACGTTAATTTCGGAACCCGGCCTAGTGTCCGCTTAATAGAGGGTGTCCACTTGAGGTTTCACTGTAATGAAATTAACATATGGGCATGTGATGTAAGGCAAGTGATTTTAATTGGCACAATGATGAAACGCCTACCAAGTTAAAAAACGAAAACTGAAAATCAACCATTATCAGAGAGAAAAGTCAAACACACGCTTTTGCATTTTGAGTGCAAAACTGTTCAATGAAAATATCTGATATAAATTTGAATTCCATTTTCCCATGCCATCGCAAAACGGTTGCCACGAAGGTACACGCATTTAATATATATTATATTGTGCAAGTTTCTTTGGTCACGTGTGGCGTCCAAACTGTGAATTCTGAGTGGCTGGTAGCCGTGATTCTGTGAGCAAAACAGTTTGTGGTGTTTTTTTTTTAAATCGAGGAACGAGAACTAAGAGAATCACGATCTGCTACTTCCTAAATGTTGCCCTTTGTACACGTTTTGTACAGTGTGAACGGTGGCAAGGGTCATTGTACAAACCTCACGCTGTACTTTCTGTGACACATACATGTATATAGGTACCTTTCTGCTGAGTATGACTACAAACATGCTATTGCAAGCCTTTCTCAAAATGTCATGAAAAATTGGAAGCTTGGAGACCCAGGGGCAGTGTAGTCTGCTCCACGGCCGTTCTTTGTGTCGTCACGCAACGCTCCTCGTTGCATGACGACCCAAAGAACAGAGTCGGCTCTTCCGCCCGTGCTTGAAAACTTTGGTCGCGCCTTTTTTCCCGACCGGGCTGACTGCCTCTGGTTCTCCGAGGATGGAAAATTTGTTACAAGATCGATTTGTATCTTCCGAATTCATTGCAGTCCAGGAAGTTATTTAACAGTTTTAAAACATGTGGCTGAACGTTCAGCCTCAAATTTGTTGAACTTATCATTGTGTTGATAAATGTGGTTGTATGACTCAACCTCTGGCCTGAAGTAAAAGCCCTGGGAATGAGTTCTTCTGCCGCGTGTTTTTTGGTCGACAAGATTTGCTGACCATGATCACTTGCGCTGGCTTTTTTTATTTTCTTTTTCACAGTATTCGCCACGTTAAAGACCGACTTCTATAAAGGGATTTAGGCTCCGTCTACACGTATCCGTTTTGTTTAGAAAACGGAGATTTTTTTCCTCTTTGCTTTGGTCTTGGGTCCACACATATCCGCTGAAAACGGTTACCGAAAACGCATCTTTTCAAAAGCGCTCTCCAGAGTAGAGATTCAGCATGTGTTTTGTAAACATCAGTTTGCGGACGTTAATTCTAGAATAATTTTAAAGTATCGCTTCCTTCTTACAGGTATTTAAACATGAACGACTTGGCCAGTCAAGAGAGGAGTTCCTACAGCTCAACTCTGCGCACCTGGCTAGCTGCAGTCACGTGATCATTCTCTTATCTAACTCAGCTGCCACGTCGCTGTTTGTATACAATGAGGTTTTGTTTGCTGATTGGTTGGGTAAGCCTTTCGTGGTTGTCATGGCATCCAACGCGTGGGAAAAGCTTCGTCCCAACATGCAGGCGATTCTGGGAAGCTGCCCAGCGGTGGATTTCGAGAACAGGGCGTATGAGGAGAGTATGGACATACTTTTGTATCACCTAAAGCCCTTTCGCAACATGCCGGCTGTCATCTTGGAGCAAGAGTTTTTGGATCGTATGGTAGAAGGTCTCAAACCCTTAAGAACGCTTGCTGTTCTCCCTGGTAAGTATATTGAATTTAAAAACAAAATCCTTGACGCAGGAGTAAAGCCTCAGCACTTTTTTTTTAACATCTTTCAGTTACGTTAAGATTCTCCCTAGGAAGGGACAGCCGGGTTGCATCGCAGTTGCGTCAGCCTTGTTATCAGAAAGGACTTCGGTAGAAGCGAGGTCAACTAGTTCTCTTATGATGGGTAGCTGCTAAGCATTCAGTTTGGTGTTCCTGTGGTAACGAAATATCTGTTTATATTCTCCAAATCATCGATAAACTACAACTCATGCTTTGTACAAGCATGTTTTATTATCAGTCCTATTAGATGAAAAAAACGTGCGCATCAATATTGTTTTTAAAATAAACAATGTAAGTGCTTATTTAAACCTGCTGTTGTTGATTCATAGTATAAAGAAGCCGTGCATCTTCAAATAATTACTGGTAACCTTGCCAGCATCAGATTGGGTGGAGTTGACTTTATTCTCAACAACTTAAAGGACCTGTGTTAGGATATTTATCAAAATTCAAACAGTGACACCCGCCACCAAATTCTGTATGATTAAAAACGTTGGTTCGAGACATTAATAGAGCTGAAGGTATAAATATCCGAACAAATACAATAAAACGCACGGATGGAAAAGCTTGTAGTATGAAAGATGAAAACGGATTCCAATTTGGTTTTTGAAAACTTGAGCGCTCTCAATTCATCAAAAATTCCGGTTTGAAATTTTGGAAATTCTACGTGCCCAATGGAACGGTACATTCCGGTTGCACAGACTCGACCCAAGCCACGGCGCAGTTGCTTATTGTTCTTGCAAACAGCATACAAACGATGCGGAACAATTTTGTCCAATGGAAAGGAACATTTCAGTCCGACCGACCAAAATGAGTTGTCCGGACAAAGTGGGTCACCTTCAGTGGCGGTCCCAAATATTCCGCCAGGTAGGAGCGAACCGAAAGGGGTCCTTTCCATTTCATTTCTAACCAAAATTTTCGGACTTTTGGGCTGAATGGAAATAAAGCGCCCCTTATTACCCTGTGACAGTTTTTCAAAGTTCATTTCAAAGAAGCTGTGATTTTGTCTTGTCATCTGCAAGTAAATTCCTCGTTAACCTGACGTTAAGTTCCTTAGCGACTAAAAAGCGTTTTTGTATTATAAGGGACCTTACGATCCGACAACGGTGACGTCCATTACTAGGTCCTGAAAAATAGACTCTGCATCATTTCAAACCATTTCGCGCTTATCCCAAGTCACCCAGTTACTAAAAAGAAGGGAATTTATGTTGCAGCTGAAGAGAGGGGACCGCGCCCGAGTTCAGAGAGAGATGGTAGAATTTATCACCTTGCCGTTCCCGTACTCAAGTAAACTTAACATTTGGTCATTTCACGTCGTAGTCGTGCAGAAAAGGCAAAGAAATGTAGAGAAAAGCGTGCTGCACGTGCAGAGTTGTTGTTTTGCTAACTAAATCTATTGCTTTTTGACGTTGCCATTGCCGTCGCTGTCGTAGTTTCGTAAGGTCCCTATTATATTAACTCAATGAACTTGTCAGGCGTTGACACAGCCCCTTTAACTGACGATATTGCTTTTCGTGTCATCGTTCAGATAATATCAGCGCAGGGAATGAAGAAATCTACCCACGGCCTAACCTGTTTTTGAGTTATCACTGGGATGTTCAAAGCAAAGTACAGATTTTGGTTCAGTACCTGGAAAGTCACGGATTCCAGTGCTGGACAGACGTCAGTAACGGAAACAAACGTCACGCAACAAGTCCTTCCCCTAAACATGGTGACACTTTGCAGACTCAGATTCAAAGGAATATCAAGGCGGCTGCCGCAGTTGTGTGTTGTGTGACGCCTAAATACGTTTGTTCAGAGAACTGTACAAAGGATCTCAGTATAGCTGAGTCACTGAACAAGCCTGTCGTTCCCGTGATGCTTCAGTGGCTGGCATGGCCTCCTGAAGGGGGAAGGGCGCGCCGGATTTTGGCGCCGTTGTCGTGTATCGACATGAGCAATGACAACCTATTTAAGAGAAACCTCAGTACTGTTGAAGCACATCTGAAGAAACTCGCAGCAAAAACAAAGTCCACTTGATGGCCACGAGATGGAGCATGTCCGGTTCGAATGACCTCCATCAACGTTGGGTCCAGCTAAAATCTCAGTTTAAAGTCCATTAAGTGTATTGCAGACGCAGGAAAAACATACTTTAAAACTTGATTAATTATTAAAAGGAATGATTAAAAGTGCTTTGGCTAATCACCCTGTTGGGGTCGTTGGCAAAAACGGAGATATTGGGACTCGTATAGTCAGGGCAATGCAAGAAACAAGTTCGTGATCCGTGGAGGCTTTGAATAAGATAGATGGGCACTAATCTACGAACCCGCGCTCAGCCAAGCTCCGAGACCAGAGGAATTATGGATGAATTAGAAATTAGAAACAAATGAGAAGTCTGAGAAGGAAGTGATAATATATTTAAAAAGAAATACAACTAACAATATATATGAAATGATGAAAAGAGTATTTAATACGAATGGAAATTTAAAACTCTATTGGACAACTGAGTTGAGCGCCAAACCGGTCGAAGAGACGTATAAGATTATTACTAAAAAAATTATAACTGATTGTCAAGTTTACTATTGTACACTTACAAGAAAATTTACCTGTTTATTTATAAAATGAAAATGTCATGCTGGGAAAGTTAATTAATGAGAACAAACTAAAAATAGGAAAGACAATTATAGCTCTAAAGGCGTTCAGTGACTATTAAGTAGACTTAGCTAACTATTAAGTAGACTTAGTAATAATATAGCTTAAAACAGAACTCGAGTAACCTTCAAACTTGACTTCAAAAAAGAACATATAAAAAATGAAAAAATGCCTCTAAAAAAGGCCTTGCATTGCGTGTAAACACCTTTCTCGATTGCTTTATCTCGGTAGAAGGCAGTGTGAACATATCTAAAACATCGAGTAGGCCGTTTCCGAGTTGCCTAAAGCCTCTGTTTAAAAGCGAGGCTGAATGCAAAGCCATTGATGTGATAATCGTTTTTTCAACGCACGCAAATAAAACTCATTTCCACAAGAAAAGTCTTGCACTGAGCCTCGTTTTGAAAGTGGAAGTTTTTGGAACTCGGAAATGGCCTATTGAAAGGAGGAAATTTGGTAGGTTGAAAAAGCATGTACCAAAAAGTAAAATAAGGGTGCCTACATTCTTTTAAACACTCTGTTATGTAGAGCACGTCCCGAACTACGGTGTAAAGAAACAACGAAATAGCCTTTTACCTAATAAAGATTAATTTCGGTTCAATTAGTGCACGTGCGCTCGCGAACTTTCCCTTAAAAGACTAATTACAAATTAGAATCTACGACATCAAAAGCAGGTAGAAACTTTCTAAATTGTTTCTTAGAGCTGGAAAATGGGTTAACAATAGTTAACAATAACTCGCTAGATCCTCCTCTGCTGACGGCGCAATAAGGCGCTTCCGGTATGCGGCCAAGAAATCATGGTTCAGTAAACTCTGTCCCATGTTAGACTGATGCAGCCAGATAGAAGAAGGTGTTGGCGTTACCAAGTAGATGCTGGCTGGGCATGGGTCGTGTGTTTCGCTTCGTTTTTCGCGCATTCCGTGCTGTTTGGAACAATACAGTCGTTTGGTACGCTGTTTATCTCGCTACTAAATGAATTTAAATCTGGGGAGTCTGCAACAGGTAGGCCGATATAATTTCTTATGGATGTGCTTATTTCAACATTTCTGCAATCGGTATTTCGCTACCTATAGACAGTGACACAGTACTGTATATCTGTCAATTTAGTACAATAGTCGAGTGTGGGCCTTGAGTGTAGTTACCGAACCCTTAGAATATCATTAAAGTTTTAGAAGTGACGTTATCTAAATTTAACAGACACCTTCCCAATACTGACATTTTTTCCTGTGCTTTCGATGTCCGTAATAAAGGGGTTCAACTTCATTTCTGACATATAATCAGCTGACAAATGAGTATCTTAGTTCAGGATAGTTGATAATTTCTCTCTTTTTCGTTTGCTATCTTAACTGTACTACCAGGTAACAGTTGATCGATTAACGATTGGTCTTATCTTTTCACAGCATGGGTTGGTTCCCTGGGTTACGGATTTCTTTTCGTCATTGGCCCCTTAACCGCTTGTCTCTGTGAACACTTTGGCTGCCGCGTTATGGCTTGCGCGGGAAGTGTACTAACCACCAGTGCATTGCTACTGACGTCATATGCCACCAATATCTCCACAATGTACTTTACCTTTGGTGTACTTTGGGGAAGTGGAGGAAGTTTTCTATTCTTCTCTGGAGTCAGCATCCTAAGATTTTATTTTAACAGAAATCTTTCCTTTGCTAACGGTGTCACCATGACTGGAGCCGGCTTCGGCACGCTTATCTTCAATATCATGTTGCAGGAACTCGACAGCAAGTACGGTTGGCGCGGTGGTATGCGCTTTTTAAGCGTGTTTGCCGCACTAACGTTCTTAAGTGGATGCGCCTACATTCCTCCCCCAGTAGATTATTCAGCGTTTGAAAGACCAAGTCTCTTGTCTAGACTGAAAATGATTGTTGATCCTCGGCCTTGGAGAGACCGAGCATTCCCCATGTGGGTGCTGTCACTCTCGTTTATTTTGTTTGCGTACTTCTTTCCTTACACATATTTGGTAAGTAACCGGTTATGGTATCACATGCTATACTCAGATGCTAGTCATTAGTTTATAAATTAAAGTAATAAGTATGAGGATACATGTCGGGCGAAAAACACCTGATAAATCTTTTTTCTCAATCCCTGTATATTTTGAAGGTTCTTCAATACTTCAACGAGGCTGGAACTTGATGAATAAAAGTACTGTCCGTAATAAAACGGGACGGTAAGATTCCTTCCTTCTTAAAGGGAAAGCGCTGCCAAACGCTTGGATCAACAAAACCAAAGGGAAAAAAAACATAGCACAGAACAACGAATCACGATCGACAGGAGCTCATAACCCCTGCGTTCGACAAAGTCCCTCTCTCTTACACTACGTCACAGCCAGGGATTTTTTACATTATGAACCTTTCCTTTGGTTTAAAGAATCAATACAAAGGAATCCCTTAGATAGTAAGGAAAATAACAAATTACAACTTCGATGCTTTTTTTGCTTGATACGAATTGTAGGTCAAGATGGCTTTAACGCTGGGCATTCCTATGTCACAAGGATCCCTGTTGCTTGGTTATCTATCCATATCAGCTATATTCGGTAAACTCTTGTGCGGGAGATTGGCAGACCTTCCACGAGTCAGGCGCCTCTACCTAAGTGTCATTGCTGCAACGGTTCTAAGCTTGTCCTTCATGTGTGTCACTGCTGCCAAAACATATCACGGATTGCTTGGCTTTGCGATAGTCGCTGGATTCTTCGACGGCTGTTTTGTTCTGACAGTACCACTTATTACACAGGATATTGTTGGGAAAGAGCTTATGACCAAAGCCTTTGGGACTATGTACGGTGCTTTGGCATTTCCTTTGACCTTAGGGCCACCTGTTCTAGGTACTAAAAAGATAAACCTTAAGTGTTTTCAAGACAAAAAGACATATTTTTCAATTTGTTTAACAACCTGAGTGGCTAAAAATCACACAGGCCTTCAGATGAAGTTTCCCAAGTGCGTAAAGCCTTAATTTTATTTACAGTGTAAGAGTGCGTTTGTTGATTCACATCGTCTTTGACGTCTTTATCTACCTGCCCCTAGTATATTCATAATTACTCACTCAAGAAGCTTTCGTTGACCCATCAACTAAATGGCCGGGCAGGAGTGAGTTCTCCCTGTGAAAGACTCCGGCGTTAATTGCTTGAGGCTGAAATCTCTGAACCCCTCTCCGTAAGAGGTTAAGTTTCCTCCCTTGCTTGTGTGACTGAAACCAATTTTCTTTTTTTCAGGGATTTATTGTCTGGATGATTTGTTTTCTCTTTACAAACACTTATAGACTTCATGAACTAATAACGCCACAGTGAAACTGTCTTTGAAGAGATATTGATGTTTCTTTTTTGTTTTTCATTTCTTAAAAGGTCAACTGTACAAGTCCACGGGTTCCTTCACGACGGTTTTCTTTGTATCAGCTTGTTTTGTTCTGACGGGAGTAGGCCTTATGTTTATTGTTATGCGGATTCGTCCAGACCTTGTTCGGAAGCAAGAGTCTGCCAGAGAAGAGGTGTTTCCTTCGCTCAGTATTCATTCCGCAAGCGTCGTTGACACATTAAGTGGGATGTTTGTCACAGAACCAAACTTGTCGGTTTCTCACTTGGATCCCGTGGAAATAGCGTCATACCAACGGTTTGATAGTTTTCGACGAGAAAATCCTAGGGCAACTACCGTTGATCCTGTCATGAGAAGACTAGCAAGCAGAACAGACGTTGAAGCTGTTTATAAGCAAGCTATTGACAATATGTCTATCGGCGCTGAAGCGTCCCGTCATGTTCGCAACAGTTCAGATGCTGATTCCTTAAAAAAGACTGATGCCTCCATTTCATCGCATCCCGGCAGTGTATTTAGTGGTTCTATGCTACCATCCACAGAAATAACAGAAAATATAGATTCCTCTTCGGATTTACAACCTACCCTTAGGAAAAGACAAGAATTACCATTATCATCCGAAACTTGCTCTACTCTAGTAAATGAAGACAGCATTATCTTGTCTAACAAGGAAGGGCTCAAAATACCTATCACTGATGAGGCAGGTTTACAAGAGGATAACGAAATGCATCAAAATGATGTCGACCAGCAGGAATTGTCTTTAAGAAATGATACATTTTCCATTGTAACCACCCATTCCATTGACCCACAGACTGCTGTGCTACAAAAATGGCCCATGCAAGAGGATGAACCCGTGTTTGGTGCTACACTAGATGAGAATATTTCTGTTCCATGTAATAGAGACCAGCTGCTGCAGATGGAACTGTTAGACAATAGAGAAATAGTTGATGATATCATGGATTCAGTCACAGATGTTGAACTGGTCAGGCTTGCTCCGCCTCCAGAAAGCAGCAGTAAAAAAAGAGCAGCTCAAGATGAAGAGGACGAGACTAGCGACTTGGCTATCGAACCATCTCT